TTGTTGTTGTTAGTATTTTCATCTTGTTACTCTACTTGATCTTTTGCTGCAGTATTGGATGAAAAGTATCAAAAAATTATCTTTTCTGATCTCTACATTTTCAAATAAGAAAGCTCTTCACTGCATTTTGTCTTCCTTTCTCCTCTTTGTCTTGTGGCATCTGTTAAGCTTTAGTCCTAGGCCTGCTGCTCTCTTCTCATTGTGGGACAGCTGACATCACTTGGGTGAACATAAGCAGCATGTCCCACGGCCTCAGCATCACTCTCGGAATAAGTGCACGAAGCGTCCCTGGAGCATGTGGCATCGCCTCCTTAGAGGTCTCCTCAGTCATGCATCTTCCTCATTTCCCATAGACTAATGCTAACGAGATTTTGAGGTCCTCTGAAGGTCTTGCACTCTCCACTGTCCCCTATATCCAGGCCCAAATATCTTAGTGTTCTCCTGGGCACCTTAACCTCCATAAAATTACAGTGTTTTCCCTTTATGTCTGAGCTGCTGTATGGCCTTAAAAATGCCCTGAGTGCCAGGGATGGTGGTACATGCCTGTAGTCCCAGCCCTCTGGGAGTGGAAAGCAAGAATATTTTAAGTTCAAATCCAGCCTAAGCAGTTTAGCTAAGCCCTGTCTCAAAACTTTAAAAAAGGCAAAGAACATAGCTCAACAGGAAGGCCCTATTTTTATTTCTTCCCTAGTACTGCCAAAAAGTAAAACCTTCTTTATTTGATCTCACCTTCAGCCTTTATAATCTTCTGCAATTATTGTTACTAAAATGCTATTCCCTGCTTCACACTTGATTTCTTTTTGCCCAGTTTATCAGTCTGTATGATTCTGACTCTGTAAGCCGTTCATGTGTGGTACTTCCTAACTTCTTTTCTCTGCCTGAGTGTAGGTGCTCCTTTCAAGCCAAATGACTCCCTTTGGCCCCCATCTTGCCTTCCTCTTCTCTTAGCCCTTCCCAGCTCCCTCCCATAGCTGACTTGCTTATCCTCGCCTGCCTGGCTTCTAGCCATCCCTTCCCGGGTGGCACATTTGCACACTTCCTTCCATGTATTCATTTATTCAGCCCATGTTTATTTGGTCTTGTATCATTTATTCAGCACATGTGTATTTAGTATTTTTGTCCACCAGGCATTTTGCCAGGCAACAGGGGTACAGAGTCCTTGGTCTGAGGACTTCACAGTCCTGTGGGGATGTGGACAGGGAAGTAGGCATTTAACCATTTGGTGTGATCAGTGCTAAGACAGAAGGTAGTGGAGCCCTGGGCCCTCCTGAAGGAGGGACATCTCAGGACGGGAAGAAGAGGATGTCACAGACATGTTCCAAAAGTAGTGAGTGAACACTCCGTGGCCAAAGAAGAAACTTAAAACCAAAGCTTCATTTGCCAAAAAGCTATCTATGAATGACCTCACCTCGGCCAGTAGCGTCTCTACTCCTCATTCCTTTTGACATTTATGTGCTCAGTACAAACTTTTTTTTTTTTTTTTTTTTGTCTTTTTCATTTTTATCGGTACTGGGGATCGAACTCACGACCGCCTGCTTGCAAGGCAGGTGCTTATGCCGCTGAGCTAAACCCCCAGCCCTCAGTACAAACTTCTAACATTTGCTTTATATTTTCTACAGTTTGTTTTTTGTTGCTGTTTGTTTGTTTGTTTTTGTTACCAGGGATTGAACTCACAACCTTGGCTTGCCAGGCAGACACTTATGCCTCCAAGCTAACTTCCTGGCTCTTTCTATAGCTTTTTGAAAAATGCTTTTTTATTTGTTTTTTATTTTTTTGTCTTTTTCATTTTTATTGGTACCGGGGATTGAACTCAGGACCGCCTGCTTGCAAGGCAGGTGCTTATGCTGCTGAGCTAAATCCCCAGCCCCGCTTTTTTATTTTTATACATAAATATCTTCTCTACAACTGAATCATAATGTTTCACAATTGCTTTCTCAACACGGGGATACAATGTCTGATACCCAAAAGTTAAAGGATGAAAGGTTTATTTGGACTCAACAGTTTGTAGAGGTTTCAGTCCATAGTCACTGGCTCCAAGGCAGGGCAGCATGGCAGAGGAGAAATAGCTCATAGGTGGTAGCAGGAAGCAAAGAGAGATCAAGGAGGGAGGAGACAGACAGATTTCCAGGTCACACCCCCGGTGACCCACCTCCTCCAACCAGGCTTCACATTCCAGCATCATACTTACCCATAAACTCGATAGTAAATTAATCAGTTAATGAGTATCACACCCTCATGATCATCACCTTCTCCAAAGCCCTACCTGTGAGCACATGAGGCTTTGGGGACCCATCTAGATATAAACCATAACAGTCTTCTAGGACCTTCAGAAGTAGTCTTCTTTTTCTGAGACCTGTGTAAAATATGCAATAAAAATTACTCATGAAGGGCCCCACATAGTGGCCCTGGTAGTCATTATCAATTTTGTAAGGTGTTTTTGCTTGATTCATGAACAGGATGGATCCTCCTTCCCGTGTGTGTGTGTGTGTGTGTGTGTGTGTGTGTGTGTGTGCACGCACGCGCATGTGTACATGAAATGTTCCATTCGAAGCACTTGGTGAGTGGCTATCAACACCCGTAATACATGCCTTCACCTCTTACCTGTGGAGAGGTCTGAGGTGCAGCAGGCTTTTTAAACCTGTTGCTGTGCTTGGGCCCTGGCATCTCACACTGGCTCTGAGCTGTGGGCTAACACGCAGAACACACAGTCAAGCCGACTGCAGGGTTCCTATGACCGCCCTGCTCAGTGGCTGTGGCTCCCTTTGCTTGTCTGTGGGCATTGAGTTTTCAAAAGAAGATGCTGATGGCTGATGTCAGAGATAGTCTGGACCACAGTTTGCACCTTGTTACGTATTGTAGTCATTCTTAGCCATTTTGGGGGTCCTGGAACTTGTCTGCCAACCTAGTTATCTATGGAAAAATACACATAGTCACACACACAAAAATTGTATACACCAGTTCAGAGGGCTCATGGGTCCTGTGAAGTCTGTCAACTCTATGGGCCTAACAAGAGCTCTGTAAAATTTTTGTCATTTTAAGCTAAGCATGTCACCTAACCGATGCTTTTTTTTTTTTTTTTAATGAAACAGGGTCTCACTATGTAGTTCAGGCTAGTCTTAAATTCACTATGTAAGGGGCTGGGGATTTAGCTCAGCGGCATAAGCGCCTGCCTTGCAAGCAGGCAGTCGTGAGTTGATCCCTGGTACCGATAAAAAGGAAAAAGACAAAAAAAAAAAAAAAATTCACTATGTAGTTCAAGCCAGACTCAAACTTGTGGCAAATCTCCTGCCTCAGCCTCCCAAGTGCTGGGATTACAGGCATGCACTGCCACCCCTGACAATGTGTGGTCTCTTTTATCCCCATTCTAGTTTTCTTCTGGTGCACAAAGGAAACAGTTCTAGGCTCATTAGATCATCATGCCTTTAAATTCCTGTATCTCCTCCTCCTCCTCCCCTAAACCACTGCTTTTCCTAGATAGTCTTTATAGTAGAGCAGTGGTTCCCAACCTTTTTGGCACCAGAGTTGGTTTCTGAAAGGCAATTCTTGCCTGGATTGGAGTAGGGGGTGGTTACATGATTCGAGCATATTGTATTTATTATGTACTTTATTGTCGTTACTACATTATAGTGTATAGTGAAGTAATTACTCAACTCACCATAATGCAGAACTAGTGGAGCTCTGAGCTTGTTTCCCTGAGACTAGATGGCCTCTTCTGGGGGTATGGGAGATTGTGGCCCCCAAACTTATGTCCAGTCGACTCTATAATGTCATTTTGGTTGCTGTCACTGCAGATACTCTGCTTCACAAAAACAGGATGTTAGAAATGGAGGCAGGCTTTTCCATGCTTTTGTGACAGTCACTGGACACATGACTTTAACCTGAAACAATAGAGATCTAATATTGCCTCAAACATACTTTCAAGGCCACCATCATTCATGAGTTTAAGCAGCTGATCCTCTTCTAACATAGACAGAGCCGAGTCACTGCCTTATTCATAAATGGGTTGCAGGCACATTGCTTCCTAGTTCAGGGGTCTGTTGTGGTTGAGATGTAATGCTCACTCCTTTAGAAGCTAAGATAGGTTACCATGCACTAACTGGGAGAAAGAAAGCTCAGTCTCTCAAAATGTTTGCTGATGTTTGAAACACATCAGAAACCCCAGTGTTCGCTTACTGCTTGTACTTTACCTGCTGACTTGGACACAGTGCAGCCACTTAACCTGCTGACTTGTCATTCTCCCCGAAAGTGATAGGTTGGGTTCACTGAGCAGGTTGAATATGTCTCACAAGTAAGCAAGTTTTGCAACCCATTCTTTGTCACTGAAATGTGCTGCCAGTGGTGACTTTTTCTGAAAGAAATCTCTGGAGCAGTTCTCATAATTCAGAAACTCTGGCCAGTGCACTCCCTTTAGAAAGCCATCTCAATTCTGGGTATAAGGGACAGTGTGAATGCTCTGCAGCCAGCTCCTCACAGAGGGGCATGCACAGACGTGTTAGAGACATGTCATTCATGTGGTTGATAAGTTTAATCACATCCTGAAACGTGTTGGTTCACGTGATGTATTTCTAACAAACTGCACTTCCTTGTAGGTAGAAAAGCGTGTAGATTCATTTTCAGACGTGACTTTGTCCCAGGTAGTGAAACCAGAAGGCTATGTGGTTGTGGCAGCTGCTCAGTCCATGCATACACCAGCACTTCTGCCCAATCCAGTTCGCATTTAAAGACCAAACTAGTTCTGCAATCATGGTGTTGGCTGGCAGCAGACTGCACATAGCACCTCCTCATCCCCGTCTGACAGGGCAGAGCTCAGGCAGGCAGGACGGATGCTACAGTAAATGCAGTGATGCTGGCTCCTGCTCCCTCCACGCACCCTCTGTGCAGCTCTGGACCCCTGCAGTAGAAGGCCGGAGGATGGGTAGATGTCAAGGAGCGCTTGTTTCTTCCCTCTTTGTACACTGCATTCCTTTTTAGATTACTAAATAAACTTCTCTTGTTTTCAGCCCATGGACCAAGCTTCTCTCAAGAACAGCGATGTTCTCGTTCTGACAGGGCTTACCCAGATCCCCACCGCCAACCCCGACGGCATGGTGGGAGAGTTCTGCAGCAACCTGGGTAGGTTAGCCCTCTTGTGTCCAGAGTTGGTGACGCACTTGGATTTGTTTTTCAGTTCCTTGTTTCTGAAGTACTCTTTGTCCCTTCCCCTTCGTAGTCACACCCTCTGGTCAGTCTGTCTGTCTGTGTGTCTCTCCCCACTGCTCCCTGCCTCTCTCCCTTCCTTCCTCCCTCTTTGTGGTACTGGGGATTAATTTAAGGGCTTTCGCATTGAGATATTACCCAGCCATTTTTTTGAGACCATGTCTTGCTAAATTTGAACCCAAACTTGAGATCCTCTGCCTCAGCCTCCTAGAGTGCTGGGACTGTAGGTATGCATTGCCATACCCAGCTTCTGATGTCCCTTTTAAAGCCATCTTCCTGATATTTACTTCCACCCTTTCTGTGCATTCTTCAAAGTCTGCTGTTGCCAATAGGAACAATTTAGCATGTTCTCACTGGCTTGAACCACTGGTAGTACACGCACAAGTGTCTATGAGATGGCTTGTACCCCTGGCGGTAGAAACAGACCTAGTTACCGTTATTGGTCTTGTTAACTTAGAAAATTACTAAAAAGCTTCTGATAGGATAGTCATGCATGTACCATCAGTGGATGGAGCTGCCCTGCAGCTAAACATGACAGGCCCATGGCAAGCCTGTTAAATCTGAAAGGAAGATGAAGAGTAGTTGTTTTAACAAATTAGACTTGGTAGCGCATCATAGGACAAATATTCAGCATTCTCCACAGGTGATTTATTTAATCCCCTTGCTTTTTATTGGGATTTGGTAGGGAAAGTCTGCTTACAGGGTAGCATTTGACAAAGAAATGATGAACATCTTTGCTTTACAAATAATAGCACAGAAAACACTGTTAGATTGAGAACCCTGTAGGATGTCTTTTCCTTTGGATATATTTGTCCATAAACTCTAGACATCTTACTTTTTTCTCAGAGGTTTGGTTACCATCCTCATAATTTCAGGCTGCTGCGATAAAGTATCAGAGACTCAGTGGCTCAGCAGTAGACATTTCTCTCTCACAGTTCTGGAGACTGAGAAGTCCAAGGTCCAAGTCCCCCTTGCTGTTGCTGGTGAAGGCCTCTTCCAACTTGCAGGTGACAATCGCTTCCTGCTCTGCCCTCACATGGAGAAAAGAGGTCTCTTCCTTCACTTTTTACAAGGGCACTCCTCCCAGTTTGGGGCTCCACCCCCATGACCCAAACCTAATTACCCCCCAAACGCCCTATCTCCTAACACCATCATATTAGGGCTCAGAGGAACCATATGTAAATTTTTGGTGAGGGGAACATTAACATTCAGTTTGTAAGTTATCCAAGAGAAGCTGATGAGCTCTACCATAGAAGGAGAAAGTGCTCATTTTCTGTTGACAAGGCTCTACATCTAATCCACTGCTGCTCAGCATGGGACCATCCACCCACCTGCCTCAAGATCAGTGAGGCCCGCTTAATAAAATGAAGGCTTGGGGACCCCCACAGACTAAGCTGGAACACCTAGGGAGAGGAGACTCCTTTGTGCCCTGGGTAGTTTTTGCACAAGTGGAAGCTTGAAAATCACTGATCCTGTTTATTCATTTCATATAACAGCTCAGGAAACAGTGGCCGAGCCAGGTTGTATGGCTTCCTTGTCCCAGAGCTTGGGCACAGGCAGGATTAGAGACAGCCCTTGAGTAATGACTACTACTGCTGCTTTTTTTCCATCGTACCATGCTTATTAGTAGTAGTCACCAGTTCTCAAGTTAGTGTATCCAGTGAACTGCACATCACAGTAGGAGTGGAGCAGAAATAAGGCATCAAAAGTTCAGATTCTGTACCCAAAAGCCGCTTGCATCAATTTGTTTTGGAATATAAATAAAAAATGAACTTGAGTATGCACCTTGTTTGCTTCAGTCAGTCATACTTATAGTAAACCCATAATTTGCAGTTCTTAATTTAGTAACTAAGTATGACGGATTGAGCTAAGTATAGTGATGTGTGCCTGTCACCCCAGCACTCTATGAGGCTGAGACGGGAGGATCACACATTTGAGCCTAGGCCAGACATATTGCTCAGCAGCATGAGTGCCTGCCTGGCAAGTGCAAGGACCTGAGTTTGATTCCCAGTACCAAAAAAATTTTTGTAGCCACCTCATCTCAAAATAAAACATAAACAAAAGCCTTGGGATGCTGCCCCTGGACAAGGCCCTAGGTTCATTCCTCATTACCATAAAAAAATAAATACAAGAAGTTTTTCTACAAACATGAAAAGAAAATGCAATTAATAGTTAAACAGAAACCTTGGCCTATCCTTATAGTTCATTCGGCCATCATCAAAGACCTGAGACAAATCCAGCACATTTTTTAAATATTTATTTTTTTGTACCAATCGAACTCAGGACCTTGCACTTGCTAGGCAGGCACTGTACTGCTGAGCTATATCCCCAACCTCCAGCACATTTTTGAACAGGGCTTAAAAAGAATGTCCTGAAGCTCACTTGCCATTGAAACCTTTAAAGCCCAAACCTTTGCTGCTACTCTGTTTCAAGTGAAACAGTCCGGCCTCTGGATGCCCCATGTGGCCACATTTCTCCCAGGGAAACATTTACTATGCTTGTGAGCGACCTGTGAGAACGCAGGTGTTAGTTGTGGTCTCCTTTGCAACACTGACCTTGGCACTGCGTTTCCCCTCTGGCTTCACACTAGCCCTGACTGTCCGGAATGGAGGTAACGTGCTGGTCCCCTGCTACCCGTCCGGCGTGATCTATGACCTCCTGGAGTGCCTGTACCAGTACATCGACTCAGCTGGCCTCTCCAGCGTCCCCTTCTACTTCATCTCCCCCGTGGCTAACAGTTCCCTGGAGTTCTCCCAGATTTTTGCAGAATGGTAAGTCAGTCTTGTTCTGTATGAGGTGAGTGTGATTTAGTACATTCAAGCAGGAAGAATGAAAGTCATCCTGTTTTCTCTCATATTACCGTGAGACACTCATTTCAGTGTGTTTCTGTGTCTATAATGAGAAAATTGTATTGCTGAAAGTCAAGTTTATTGCATTACTGGAGTTTGGAATTATAGTTACCAAGGAGGGCAAGATGAAGAAGGGCTTATCTTGGCCTGCACTTTATTTTTTTTTTTTTTGTCTTTTTCGTTTTTATCGGTACCAGGGATCGAACTCACGACTGCCTGCTTGCAAGGCAGGCGCTTATGCCGCTGAGCTAAATCCCCAGCCCCTTGGCCTGCACTTTAACAATTAGTAGCAAAAGTATTACTTTCCTTCTTAAAGCTACTGTCCACCTGCTGCTAAAAGTGAGGGTACATTCTAAAAATTTAAAGCCTTCAAACCCAAGCCCATATTATCTAAAATATATCACATTTTACATTTGACAAAACTGTGTTTTATTACAGAAATTTTAAATAAGATTCCTATGGAGAATAAATTATGAACAATAAGAAGTCATTGAACCTTTTTAAGATTATTTAAATGCATGTTTGAATCTCATTCCCCTGTCTCTCCCAAAAAAAGCTGTAACACACACAATATAGGGTATGTCCCGTCTCCTTTAGTTGTGTGGAGGCCAAATGGATACAGCAGTCAGGTTTCTCATTATACCATATCCCAGCATTTTACTGCCTCCTGCCCAGGGCTTTTAAGTACTTTTTTTCCACATATAAGTATTGTTTTTTTCACACGCCTCACCATCCAGGTGTGGAACTGTCCTTGGAGATGGTTTTGGCCACCTCTCACCATTGTGCACAGGGCATTTCCCAGGATAGGAAGGTCGTCCTGAATAAGTTGCGTTCTGCTGAAGATTACTTGCAAGTTTAATCAGCAGATTTTGAGTTTCTTCATCCAGATCCTCAGGAAAAGTATTGCAAGAAACACTAGACCCAGTCCTGTCACCCCTGGGCACTCTCCCCTGGGCCTGTGGCTTCCGTCTGGTCCACCCGTCACGTACTTGTCATCCTGTTGGTACAGCCTGCTGGGTTGAACTGAGGACTGCTAAGCAGAGAACTAGAGGGTGTTCCTGCTTTTTAGATACTTGTTTCTAATGTGTGTAATACAGATTTACTATAGAAAAAATAAAAGCTTTCAGAAACTAATAAAAAACACTGAACTCATAATTCCAGTCTCTAGAAATGGCATCACTGTTAGCATTCTGATGTATTTCTTCCATCTACCAAAAAAATCATGCTGAATATTTAGTTTTGTCTCTGCTTTTAAAAAGTTAATTAGATTAAAGCACGATAAAATCTTTGAGACATAACTTTTACTTCACTTCAGTATTTTAGCATTCATATACATATAATTTAGTGTTTTCTTAATATAATAACTTTATTCTCTTTTTGCTTTTAGTAGTAGGTCATCAATTAATACCATTCTGTGTATATAGCATGACATCTTTTGCTCTGGGTGAATTACTAAAAGTGGAATTACTGGAAAAAAGGATATAAATATTTCTTAATGTTCATTTATGAATCAAAACTGCTTTCCAGAAAGATTTTATGTAAATTGTTCCTTTTTTGCCCATTACTTCTTACAGATTTTGTATTTCTCTTACATTTTTGATACATTTATGAATATATCAAAGGTCAAACTTCGTGTTATAACAGATTTTTTTTCCCATTTTGGCCCTTGTCTGAATTTTTTTGGAGTTTGGAAATAATATTTTGGAATAATGTTAAGTTTTCAGAAAAGGGTAAGACTGAAAAATTCCGTATTGTTTCACTAGGTTTCCCCTAGCAATGTATGTTTGTCAAAATTAAGAAATTAACGTGAGTTCGTGGAACTTGTGCTGGACCTGTTCTGGCTGCACCAGGTTTTCTCCTCATAGCCTTTTTCTGTTTCAGGGTCCATTCCGGGTTTCACAGTGCAGTGATTCATTCTTTCTTTCTGTCCTTTGTTTTTCTTTCTCGCTGAAGCAGTGTTTTAGTTTTAAGCTCTTTCCCTACTTTGCTATTTCTTCTCTTATGCTTTGAACATTCACTCCCTTATGGTGTCACATGGCTAAACACTTTCGTTATGGTTTCTTTCTTCTGTTTTACCTCCCCCTACCCTTAAGTATTTTATTTGGAGTTCGTTTAGCATGACAGAATTAGTAACTTCATTTTCTCCAAACAGTCAAGTACTTACATATCCATGTACTATTTATCAAATAACCTTAACCTTCTCAGCTGATTTGCATTGGTTTCACATGCTAAACCTTGATGTGTATTGGCTTTTATTCTAGGACTACTCTTTTTTTTTTTTTTTTTTTTTTTTTTTTTTTGTCTTGTTCCTTTTTACCAGTACCGGAGATCGAACTCCCAACTGTCTGCTTGCAAGGCAGGCACTTATGCCACTGAGCTAAATCCCCAGCCCCTTAGGGCTACTCTTTTAATCTTTTCTGTGGCCAGGGGGTGCCACTATATTTTAATGACCGTGGTTACTTTTATAATATTTCTCCCCAGTCAGAATTCCCCAAAGTATTATTGCATGACACCTGTTGTGTATGAGCCGTAGGATCACTTTATTGATTTCTAGAATATCCTTTGAGTGTGTATGTCCTGTGTGCTACAAACTGACATCCCTGTGGTGATCCTTCGAGGCGGAGACCTGAGAGGTGTCTGTCTTAAACTTTCTCAGTATCTCCCTCGGATTCTTACCATACTGGCAATCATGTATCACTTCCTGTTTGCGTCCATAGTTAGTTTGGTCCATAAACATCTGATAAATGCTGTCCTTGGTAGAGTTCTGGGGATCCAGAAGGACCTCTGGGCTTGAGGAACGTGAACCTCAGGAGGAGGCAGCTGTGTAACTCTCCCCCCACTGTGAGTCCAGCTGAGTGAGACTCACACACATAGGCACATGCACACCTACATAGGAGCGCTTGTTCTGTCCCGAGAAGCCAAAGCATCCCCAGCTGGGATTCAAGAAAGGCTTCCTGGAATAAGGCACTCCTGAGGAATAGCAGGCAGACAAAAAACCTGTGAGGATGAGCCAGGTGGGCTGCTAGGGATGGGTAGTGTAGGGCGAGTGGGCGACACAGGCCAAGATACACATGGACGGCTTCAAGGCTTTGGCTTGCCCAGAGAACTGTCTGTAGTTCATTGTTACTAGGGAACTGAAACATGGGGAGCAACAGGATATGAAGCTAGAGAAATCTCCACAGTGGAGGCTCACTGAAAGACTTGAAGCAGATTTGCATTAGTCCCTTGCATTGCTCGCAGGTGTTCCTGTGATTGTGGGATGTTCACAAGGACTAGAAGGAGTATAGAAGAAATGCAAGGCCAAGAGAGAGCTAAGACTCCCTTGTGTGTTACCCTGTGGGAGTGCAGGGCAAGCGTGTCTTCGAGAGGCGATTGGAAATGTAACTGGCAGGACTCACTAGTTTCTTGGTCCAGAGATGTTAGCAGTGAAGATCCACTCCACATTTGCTAGTGTGGCTGTCAGTGGTGACCCCAGTGAGCCAGGTCCTGCCAAGGAGGGGCAAGTTCATACTGCAAGTGTTGTTGGTTTTGTCCTTGAGGCGCTTGTGGCAGTTCAGGGCAAAGCATCACCAACCCAGACAGCTGAGAAGCCAGGGCTGGAGGTGCAGGCTGGGGAATAAAAAAGAAAGAAAATGAAGGGCTTTGTATGTGCAGTATGTTCTTCCCTCAATTGATTTACACAGCGTATTTTTGAAAGGAAAAGGATTACGTAAGTTCTACCTAGTGTGACCTCTGGGAAGTCCTTGGGGCCCCTCCCTCCACCTCTGAGAAGCAGCAGCTCCTACCAGAGAAAGTTGAGTCACCTGGGAGGCTGATCTGATCTCATTGGTCTGCAGCAGCAGAGGCTTTGAAGCGCCCACCAAGCCATTCCAGCATGGATTGGAAGCTGGTAGCACTGTCCTAGAAACTGTCATGAAACACTTTGTGCCTGCTGGTGTCAGGAGTGGGCCAGGTTGTCTCAGTGACAGGTGCTGGCTCCAGAGTTGGGCTCACCGCCATTGCTGTGGAGCCGAGTGAAGCCAGAACCACAGCCCATGCTTGGACTTCTACTGTTGCTCTGGGTGGGCAGCCTGGGTCTGCGCACAGGCCCTGCACCATCCAATCTCGGGGCTCTGCTCTGCTCTGCGCTCACTCGGCCCTGCTTTGCCCCCTGGGAAGGAAGCCCAACTCCTGGCTGGCCCAGTGTCTGGTCCAGCTTCAGAATAAGGGCTCATGGCTTGCTTGGCAGGTGGATTTGTTTTTGCTGAGGCAGGGAAATGGGAAAGGTGGCTCCCAAAGAGTCTCTGATCTCTTATTCATCAAGCAGTGCCCAAAAGACTAGCACTTGAGGATCTTGGGCTCTCAACTAGACATGATTCTAGAAGCGTCTTTATTCTTTGCTTTTCTGATAACCCACGTCTGTCTGTGAGTCTCCTTTTGAACTCCAGCAGCCCCAAAGAACTAAACTGGCCCCATCAGCCTCCCAGAAGAGGCCTCAGCCTGCTGTATCTACACAAGGGCTCTGGAGGAGAGCGTCGGGGTCCAATAGCAGAACTGAGACTCCTAAAGCCGGGGTTTCATCCTCATTCTGATTGTAATCTCTTCAACATCATTAATGTCTCGAAATGAAACATGTAGCATAACATCCTGTGCAAAAATTAAGTAACACCTAAAGTAAGCACTTAGATTGTTTCGCTTCCTGTGTTAGAAAGAAAAAAAGAGCTGGGGTCCATTTGTACATATTTTGTTTCCATAGTTTTGTCTCTACCAGAAAGAATATAAAGTGGTATTTTTGAGATCAAAGTTAAAGGAAACTAAGTGTAGGGGGAAAAAATACATGGATGGTATAAGGTTAATACAGAACCCAAACGCTGAAGCCCTGCACACCTGCCTTTTTCCGTGTCTTGACAGAGTCCTCAACGGCAGCTCTAACGCCATGTTTTCCCCTTTTGAGAAAGTGTTGATTGAGCCACTGCAAACTTTGTCACTTTATCTTTATGAGACATCTCGGTGTGTCAAGGTCATGCCCGTCCAGGGAAAAACTAGGGTGGCCTACAGTACTCACTGTCTCCAGACCAAGGTCCTCAGTTCAGCCCCAGAGACTTAGCAGGGCCGCACCTAATGTGATCTGATAGTGCACGTGCAAAGCCAGAGAACCAGGTCTCTGCGGTAGGTGGGGCGCAGCAGACTGCCACAGCAAAATATAGCATCGTGTCTTGGGGTCAGATCCTGGAACAGAAAAGGACACGAATGGAAAACCTGATGAAACCCAGGCAGTCTGGAGTTTAATAAATTGTAATATCCTAGTGTTTAATTTCTCCGTTTAAGGAATGCACTGTGGTTGTAACATTAACAGGAGCACTACTGTTTTTACAACTTCTCTGTAAATCTCAATTTATCCCAAAACAAGACATATATTTTCTTAAGAAAAAAGTTATTGAGGAATTTTAAAGGTTTAAAAAATTATATATTCCCAAATGCTCTGTTTTTGCCAGCTTTTATTTTCAGTGAAACTCACTGGCCTGGGAATTATAGAATACATTTTAGTGTTTCATTTTGCACTGCTGCCACTAGGTGGCAACAAACGCCTTACTGTACACTTTCTAACAAATTGATCTGTTTTCCCTCTTTAAAAGGCTTTGTCACAACAAACAGAGCAAGGTGTACCTTCCAGAGCCACCTTTTCCTCATGCAGAGGTAAGAAAACAAAATGTTGGGGTCAAGGTAGGGAAGAAATGCAGGTGGCTTGGTGCAGCTAGAGTGGGCCATGAGATTGCAGCTACTCCTGTGAAATCCCTTTGTGTATCCCTTTGCCTCCGGAGTAAGGTGACAGCACAGTGCTCAGCTCAGATTCTGTTGTTTCCTCCTGTGTGTCCATGGCTCGGCCTTCCGTTGTCCTGTGACTGCAGAAGCAATCACATTCTAGCATCTGTTTTAACTTTTTTGAGTCATAGATTTTTATTATAAAAGTGTTTTTTTATACTGTCAACCATATATGTAAATGGTTAGTCAAGAAAACAACATTTCAGTTTTTTAAAAACTAGAAAAATTCCCCACCTTTCACAGAACTGATGGGTATTTTTATTTGGCTGAATACCCAGTTTTGTTTCCATTGCTTTTTTTTTTTTTTTTAACAACTGATGTATCTTGGACAGTTTTCTTTGTGCCTCTTATTATGCTTATTGTTTACTATAGTGTTAATACCCCTTTATAAAAAAGATTTTTAACTGGGCCTGGAGGCACATCCCTGTACTCCATGAGTATCACAAGTCCCACCTGGGCAGCATGGCATGTCCCTCTTTCAAAGTGAGAAGGGCTGGGGATGTAGGTCCATGGTAGAACGCCCCTGGGTTTCATCCTCAGCCCCATACATACAAAGGAGGATACTTAAATTGGTAAACTACTCGAGCAGATCATTTGGCTAGATCTGTGGAGTGTGCTGTATGCCTGAGCACTTTTGTTCTGAAAGTACATACTGAACAGAGGAAGTACATAGGCCAATTACCAACAGACAGCACATGCAAAAACCTTGGTCACCATGCTGATTACCCTCCATCCACCACCAGATGTGAAGTGGGTTTTGTGGTATGGTCACCCAGTGGAATAGCGTGCATTCATGAGAACGAATTGATTCCAATTACACACAGCAGCACTGATAAACTTCACGAACATAATGTGAGTAAAAGGAACCAGACAGAAAAGGAGATATACTGTGGTCTTATGTACAGAAAAGTTCAAAAACATTACAAAATAATATATGGTGTTAGAACCCAACATACAGATTGTTTTGGAGATAGAGGAGGACAGTAGGGACTGGAAGGAAACAGGAATTTCCAAGGATCTGGTTATGCTTTGTTTGTTGATGTACATATGGGTTTATGCGTGGGCTGAGTTTGGTTAAAAAAATAATCATCAAAGGTAGGAGATAGCATTATAAAAAGAGCAAAGGCTAGATTTAATCTTGTGAGACTGGATTGAATCCTTGGTATACATATCCTCAGTAGGCATGGATAGGCAGATATATGTTAATGGATTTAGTTTTATTTTATAATTTATTCTTTGACACGGTAAACTGCAACAAATCATTGCTAATTATTTTACATTGAACCACTTTTCATACTCTAAAGGATACGTTAGCTGGGATGCCAAGTTTAAGGTTTTGAAGAAGTCATTTTTTAGTCCCCATACTTTAATATTATAGCACGTGGTGTTTTCATAATCTGTCATTACCTCAGTGAAATTCAGGCTAGCAATGCAATAACATCAGGGAATTCGGCTCAGTGACCAAGTGCTTGCCTGGTGCACACATAGCCCTGGGTTTAAGCCCTAGTGCCACTAAGACCAGACTCAGTGTGGGAAAATGTATTTTGTTGGTGTTCATTCCATCAGTACTGTTCTTACTCCATCTACCTGTGTGACAGCGATTCATGATAGTGCCATAATTCATAGGTCTTGCTGCCAGCCAGCTCTGATTTGAATTCGGTCATTCCTGCCAGCTCGAACCACCGTGGTACGTGTGTGACTGTCCTGTTGGGCAGCTTGGACCACTTTTCAGGGGCTCTTTGATTATAATAATGCAAAGAAAGGCAGTGAGTTACAGACCAGATGTCATCATTACAGTTCTTTAAGGAAACCATTAAAATGATACTAACAAATTATGACACAGCTCATTTGTGGTACAGCAGTTGTGTATATTACGTGCATCAGCAATGGAGTACTTGTAAGATTCCCATGTTAAAATTTAGAGAATTGTTAACAAAACATAAATTAATTTAATGAAATAACTGTACTGATAATGGTAATGATTTTAGTTGTTATGGATACTATTAATATTTGGGTAGTAATTATTTAAATTTAAGCAACTAACTGAATTCTGACCATTTATAGGCTTCTATTAATTTTTATTAATTTTATTGGTAAAACTGACTAGATCCATTTGTACCACGAGTGGGTCAAGCCACGTAACAGGATAGTCACACGTCTATCTGCAGGAACGTATTAAGATCGGCAGTGTAGGCCAAGGATTTAGCTCAGCAGCACAGCACCTGCCTGGCAAGCACGAGGTCATGAGTTTGATTTGTGATACAAAAAAGAAAAAGATCTGCAGGGTAGTGCTACAGTCTTCCTAATAAAACCACATGTCTCCAGTAAAAGGTTAAGTCTTCAAAATGAGGAGTTTGATTTTTGGGGAACATCCTCACTTTTGTGGTGATGTCATTTGGACTTGAAGTTGCTGACCGGTCCCTCTCACACATTATGGTTACTGCTGCACTAAGCCATGTCACAAACCATTTCTTTGTCCATTAAAAGGAAATGTTTCCTTTGGACAATTTGATGTTTAGGGGCTGTGCCTGCTAAACATTTGCCACATGGCCTTTGGTTGCTGGAATAGGAGGCGGGGTGGGCCTGGGCAGCAGAGCTGACTGAGCAGTGTCACAGAGGCCTTTTGTGGTTGTGACTGTGCGTGTCGTTGCCTTGTGACACGCCTGATATCAGGAAAGCACTGTCAAATGGAGATTCTCAGGGCTCAAAACATAAAACTCTAGATAAGTTCAAAGCCGTGTGTCCTAAAGTTCCAAAAGCTGAATCGGTCTTTGAATTAAGCTGCTGCTTTGCCTCATCACAGTCTGACTCAGGCATTGCTGTGGGTAAATAGCCTCCCTTGTGAGAGGGATCTACTGGTGTCAGAGCTTGGTGCTTCATACATTATGGCTTGTGTCTAGATGTCCCCCCAGAGCTTCATGTGGTCATACCTGGAGCTTTTTCAGAGGTGGCTGGATCTAGAGTGTGTGACACTGGGATTGATTCATGGTGTACCACCAGGATTGGGGGTACTGGATTAAGGGTGTGAGTGCTATCTGCCCTAAGGAGCCTAGATAAGATGTAAGGGACAGAAAGAGCTATGGTTGCCCCTTGTTGCTCTGCTGCCTTCTTCCAGCCATGAACTGTTTCTCTACGAAGCCTGTCTGCCACCCAAGGCACCTTAGAGTCAGCTGATTACACCTGAAACCTCTGCAAACTGTGAGCTAAATAAACCTTTTCTCCTTTAACTTGTGGCTGTGGGATATTTTGTCTCAGCAATGAGAAAAGTAAGTAAAACACACAGGTTGAGAAAGTTACTTGGCTTTTAAACAATAGCTGATATTGAGGATTTCAGGTGGTGGTTAGAGTGTCAGGAAGCTAGAAAGGAAACATTAGAGGAAATCAGGCCAGAGCAACCTTATTAAAAGTTTCGGGTATGAGGGTTCAAGGGTGTAACGTAGCTCAGTGGTAGACAGTATCTCTGGCTCTCTGTGTTGTGTTCTGTCCCCTGTGCCACCGAGAACAAACAAAAAACAGTTTCAAGTATGTTATTACTGAAGGGATTGACTTTTCCATCTATTCTGAAAGTCACATAATAGGAATTTTTATTTGGACTACTTTTACTGACAGTTCCCAATTTAGAGTGGTGCCATTTTTAAAAATTATTTCACTTTCTGATAAGAGGTGAAGACCACAGTGTTAGGTTGAAACCGTACTTCAGACTGGACCTGAGCTGGCATGACAGGACAGGAGAAGTACTGGGCAGTGCCTGTGCCTGCAGCTCCCGCTCCTCCAGGTCCAGTTGTTTCTAGGCTGTCTGTGGCTGGGGTCATACAGCACGCTGACTTCCTTCACTGGGCTTCCTTCACTGGTTCTTCTGTGCTGAACAGCTTCACACGGCCCAGTGTTCCAGTTTGTTGTTTACTCAGTGAAGGACATCTTGCTTGTTCCCAAGCTCTGTAGCGAATGTGAATAAAGCCACTACAGATATCTGTGTGCAGGTTTTTGTGGAGATTGTCTTCAAGTGTCTTAGGTAAATATCAAGGAGCATGGTTGCTGATGCTGTGCTGAGTATTATACCTGCTGAATTTTGTTTAAAAAAAAAAAAAAAGAGCCAAACTGTCTTCCAAAGTGACAGCACCAGTTTGCACTCCCAGCAGTGACTGGGGGCCCCGTCACCCCCCATCCTCATTGGGATCCGGTGGTCAGTGACCCAGATCGTGGCCCTTCCAATAGGCATGTAGCAGCAGCATGCTGTGATCTCCGTTTCCCTCTTGACTTCCGGTACTCGGCGTCTTCGTGACAGTTATGCTTGTTTCATGGGCATGTTCTCCAGGTGGCTTGGCCTCTCCATTTGTGTTTTTAAGTTACTTTGCACATCCCCCTGTGCTGCGGTCCTCCCTTCAGCCCACACAGGCTAACAATTCCTCCTATGTTGTCCTCTCATCTTGCAGCTTATTCAGACCAACAAGCTGAAGCACTACCCCAGCATCCACGGAGACTTCAGCAACGACTTCCGGCAGCCGTGTGTGGTGTTCACTGGGCACCCTTCGCTCCGGTTTGGGGACGTGGTCCACTTCATGGAGCTCTGGGGAAAATCTAGTCTCAACACTGTCATATTTACAGGTAATTTACAAAATAAACTCACCCCTGTGCTTCCCTGCCAGGCCAACAGTGGCTGCAGCAGGCAAACCAAGGGAGGGATCTGCCAGAGGCAGGAGGTGTTGGCCCTGGCACTATCCCGCTGAATGTACCAAAGAGCCACGAGCATCAGGACAGGAGGAAGGTGGGGTGCTGCCCGTGATCCTGAGCACCTCTTTGCCAGTGGAACTCTTCACCTAGGTGGAATTCTGCTGAATTGCTTTTCAGCAGATTTCTCTACAAGAACTACATAACTCCAGTACTTGCTCTTTGCTTTACCTTTAGGAGTTGTTCTTGTCTGTGGATCTTTCTCCTTTGTAGTTTACTCTGGCTTGAAGACCGACCTTCAGGGAAAAGACATCCTTTTGTGAGGTCAAGTAAGAGATTGACATAGATAATTACAGCATTATTTTATCAGTTTATAGGCTTTACACTGACTTGGGTTTTAGAAGACTCACAGGCTAGAAAGTAAACAGTTGATCTGAAATCTGGCACAACTTGCTCTATCGGCAGCATACCCCTGCTGTGGGGGGAGCTCCCAGCTGTTGCAGGCTGTTTTTCTGTCTCTGCCATGGGTGAAAGGCCGCAGCACTGGCTCCCAAGACACTGTTTCATGGTACCTAGGACTTGGCCCTCCCTAGGAAGGTGTCCAGGGACCGCAATGTGGGCAGGGCCAGGCTTGGCCCCTCCCATTCCTCAGCTGTGACTGACATGACAGTGGGTGTGGTATTGGCACAGGCACACCCTGAAGTGTTGGATGTGGTACAGATGTTCTTTGAGCCTGCTAAGAAGTCAGAGGCTATGTGACCATTCATGACAACTCTGAGTAATGACTTTATATTTAAAATGGTTTGTCAGAGCGGGGTATGGTGGCTCACACCTCTAACCCCAGTACTTGGTAGCCGGAGGCAGGAGGATTGCTCAGTTCTAGGCCAGTCTGGGCTTCATAGTGAATTGAAGGCAACATGAACTACATAGTCAGACCCTGTCTCAAAAAAGTAAAGTAAGGTTTGTCAGGCTTCTACAGCAGTTTCCAATATCCACTAGTGGGAGAGGGACTTGGGGCCTTTTCAACTGGTGTGATGACTGTTGTCACATTAGAAGAAGTCAGTATTCCCTCTTCTTACTGCATCTGGGAGTTCTGGAAATTCTTTGGGAAATGTGACCCGCTGGGGTACTTTAAGTATCTGGTCATTCTGGAGCCTGGCTTGCTGGTGCAGGCCTGTAATCCCAACACTGGGAGGCTGAGGGAGGAGGGCTGCAAGTTCAAGCCCAGTCTAGGCAACTTAGCAACTTAGACTCTTTCTCAAATGTTTTTTAAAGTAGATGGGGACATGGCTGGGATATAGCTCAGCGTGAAGGCCCTGGGTTCAGTACCCAGTGCCACCAAAAAAAATAAAAATTTGCATCTGAGATGTCAGTGTGCCAGTAAGCACCAGCCCCACAAGAGACGGGGACAAAGGAGCGAGGCCCTCAGGGCTGCTGCAGGACAGCAGGAGCTGAGCGGTACCTCTCGGCAACAGTGAATCGGCTCTTGGGCTCCAGGCAGCAGCCTCTCTAAATGGAGCGCAGTCCCTGCCATGCCGGCTACAGAGGCCCCAGAGGAAAAGCGGGGCCACATGACAACGGTTCAAGGACTGGTCCCTGTTGGGAGTGATGGTCCAAGCAGCACGTGCTGTCCGGGGGTGGCTTGGTGGTTTGTCCCAATGCTAGCATGCTGGTGTGGACAATGCAATGCTCACAGGCTGGGACACGGCCTGTGGGGCACTGGGAGACTCGCACATGTCCCATTCTTCCTTGACTGCGTGCATTAGCAGGTCCCGATGATTCTGGTCAGAGCACATCTGTGTGTGAGTCTTCGCTGCACATTGCTGGCTGGCATCTTGCTGTAAAGCAGAGCTTTCTCTTCTCTCTTGAGGCTCTCATCCATGCTTCATGTTGAGCACTTGGGGTCTGCACCTGTGCCTCCAGACCTTCCACCCACAGGGATCACCCAGCCCTCATGGCGACTGCGAGCCCCATTCCACACTCCTCCCACCCCACAACCTGTGCCCACTCCCAGCTGCATGTTAAAGCGCCCTCCTGTGCTCTCCCTAGAACCCGACTTCTCCTACCTGGAAGCACTGGCCCCCTACCAGCCTTTGGCCATGAAGTGCATATACTGCCCCATCGACACGCGCCTCAACTTCATCCAGGTGTCCAAGCTGCTTAAGGAAGTGCAGGTGACGAGGGAAACGCCCCAGGGGTGGGGGTTGCTGCATTTGAGCACTGTCCTCCCCAGATCCCACCCAACTGTGATGCTGGGGCTGGTCCTGCTGACCCTCAGACTTGAGGGATGGTCTTCACACCCTGACCAAAGTTTCCAGCTTGGAAAGTCAAAAATCCAGAGGAAGAACATGCAGTTACCCTGAGGCTCAGCTGTACTACCTAAAGCAGAGTGTCCCCTAAGAAAAGCCGCTACAGAAGCACAGTCACTAGACTTAAAGGCAGTTTGATTGTAACCCATATCGGGCCCTTGTGATGTAGGCAGCTTCATTTTGGTTTGTTTGATTCATTTTTCATTTTCTGCCCTTAAGAAAGGGAAGTAGTTGGGGTAAATGGTAGATAAAAGGACAAGGCTGCCAGAAGGAAACCGCGGTGCAGGGGATGGAGGACACAGTCACTGTGCAGGGTGGCTAGGAGGTGTTCTGCGCTTGGTGCTGGAAGGCCAACAGGAACAGGAGCAGGGCACGGTGCCTGGCCGGCTGTCCCCTCTGAAGTCACAGCTCAGTGTGCTGAGGGCCAGGCAGGCCGCTGCCTCCACACCTGCTTGATGAGTGGTGCACGCTCAGCCCTGTTCATTTCCCCAGTCAGAAGTTCCCTTTCCTCCTCCTCACAGAACCCGGGGTGCTGGGAAGAGAGACCCCTATGCAGAGTGCTCAGGCAGGCCCTGGGGGAGGCAGGAAGCTGTGCTCTGGATCGACAGCTCACCTCCCCAGCAAGGAGAGAATCTGGGTCTTCTTGGGCCTTAGGAACATTGGCTTGGGGCCTACAAGGAGGGACCCAATACCAGCTCTGCTTACCCTGGAGAGCGGGCTGGGAGCCTGGTGTGTGAGTGATGTAGGTGCCAGGCCTAAGCCAGCACTGCCCAGCTGCCGCCATTCAGGACACCTGCGCGGCCCTGGGTCCGCCTGCCGGCGTCCCCAGTCAGGATTGGTGGCTTAGCCCAGACCCTTACATGAAGGCAGATAGGGCAGTAGCCTCGCGGGTCCTCAGCTTTTGTTTCCAGTTGGGTGGTATTTGTCCAAAATAAACTTTGGTTTACTAAGGTTATTCTCTCAAGAAACAAGAGGAAACTTTTAAAGTTCCATATCTGATTTGTCATCGCACACAGCTGAGCATGTGACCCCTAGGCCTGCTGGTAGCATAAGCGAGGGCCCCGAGGAGGCTGCGCCAAGGAGCCCAGGGACCAGCAGGGAGCTCAGAGCCTGAGAAACTGAGAGTCTACCTTGGCTCACACTCTGGCGGGAGGCTCACGGTCTCCCAAGGGCTTTTCTGCCACCCTGCTTGGTGCTAGTCTGTGTCATGGGTCAGTTGGGCTTGAAGGCAGGAGGGTGCCGTGTGGCCTGCTGGCCTTGCACGTCCAGGACACTGGCACCAGAGGAAGCAGCAGTGCTGTGTTCCAGCTGCCCCCAACCCAACCTGACCTGTCCCTTCTGTCTGTCCTTGTGCCCACAGCCCCTGCATGTGGTGTGTCCTGAGCAGTACACACAGCCGCCACCGGCACAGTCGCACAGGATGGACCTCATGGTGGACTGCCAGCCCCCGCCCATGGCCTACCGGCGCGCCGAGGTCCTGGCACTGCCCTTCAAGCGTCGCTATGAGAAGATTGAAATCATGCCCGAGGTGAGTGCGCCCCCACTGGTGACTCACCCTTTGCTGCTGGGGTCTCAGACAGCCACCTGATGGGCACTCCTCAGGTTTGTATCTGCAGAGTCACGAGAGAAGGGGAGCAGTGTGGGCTCCGGGTTCCAAGGCCGTGCCTGGATGGGGGTTCAGGGGAGGGCCCTTACTGCACCCTCACGGCCTCCTGGGCTGCAGGCAGGAGAGTGGGGAGAGTGACCAAGAGGAGGAGTGTGCCCTTCCTTCCGTCCCTTTCAGCACAGCTTTGTGGTTTTGGCCTGTGAGTCTAAATATTTGTATGTCTCTAAAATCCTAACTTCTGGTTGGGTGTGTTTGTTTTAGCTGTTTTTATTGCCATACTGGGGAACTGAACTCAGAGCCTCATACATGCTAAGTGAGCGCTTTACCACTCAGCTACAACCCCAGCCCTTTTTACTTTTGAGATAGGGTTCCACTAAACTGCTGAGGCTGGCTTCCACCTGGGAATCCTCCTGCCTCAGCCTCCAGCGTAGTGGGAATCACAGACATTCAGTACCATGCTGTTAGCGTATGTTTTAACAGGGAAGAAGTGAAAAGCAAATTGTGCATGTGAACAGCTGGGGCAGGTTGTGCTTAAGCAACTCATCCCTGGGGAAGCAAGAGGGAAGGGGCTCTGAGGTGACCAAGCAGGCTCTTCCGGCTTCCTTCTCCTCTTAAGATGGCTTGGACGGATCAGAATCGATGGATGAGAGAAATAATAAAGCCTGGTGCTAAGCCAGCACCCGGCGTTCTTAGTGGACTTGGGTTTAGGAAGTGCCCAGACCTTGGCCCCAGGGCTGGCGCACAGCGGCTTTCCACGATTCCTCTCCATAGCTAAGCAGAAAGGTGGTCTCCTTACTGAAGGGCACTAGATGAAGCAGAGTAAAGCAGTTTGGATAATTAAATTGGGTGAACGATTCAACAGTGCAAAGCTAAGCAGTATTTGAATGCAGGCAGCCCCACTTCTGTGAGTAGGTGAGCCCTGTGCTGTATGGCCCTTCTGTCCCTGTGGCCGGTTCGTTGGCGCTCAGGCTGCAGGAGCAAGACCAAATGGCAGTTTCAAAGCAATGATGATTTTCTTAGAAGTCTTAAAAGTGGATTATAATTTAGAAGACATTAGAAGTCTTACAAATGGATTTTTATTTTGTTTTGTTTTTGGTGATGGTGTTTTTGAGACAGGATCTCACCATGTACTTGGTCTGGCCTCGAACTCATGGTGATCTTCTGCCTCAGCCTCGTAAGTACTGGTACTTATCACACCCTGCTACAAAGGTTTTCAAGAAGTGGAGGGGTCATATACCTGCTAAGCAGTGAACTGCTGGAATGACACAGATAGCTTCTCAAGCAGACTGCCTTGAAGGCCATTTGGGTGTTTGTTGATCTAATAATTCTGTAATTGGAAAAACTGAATTTTTAGTTGGAACCTGTAAATTCAGCACTTTAGTCTTCTCTAATTAACTGACTAACAACTGCTAATTATAGCTGGTTTGGGAGGGAGGAGGCCAGGATGAGCAGGTCAGGCCCCTGCAGCCCTCCAGTGACTGGATAGGCCCCCTCTAGTGCAGCCAGAGGGCTTCCTGAGCAGTGGTCCCCCCAGACTTGTCCTGGAACTCTGAGTAATGGCCCTTCGCTTTCCCAGCTGCCCCATCCATCTAGTTAGTATCGCTTAGATTGCAGTGGTCTTATTTCAGTAAGCTGACATTGATAATGATGTTTTTTAATGAGGGACGCAGAAAAGCAAGTTTCCACTTCCAAAGAAGACCAGGGTTTTTTGTTTTTAGCACTCAAGGAGTATAAACCATCCCTGCTTCTCATTGTACAGTGGCTTCATGTATTTTTATGATTTTGCTTTTCATTTTCTCTACATTTTATTCTTCTTACAGTGAAAGACATTAGCCTGGTATCTTTGGATTGTTGTTTTTTATTATTCCCTGTTTGCAGTACATCAGTCTTGCGAGTGGGCACAGAGACATGAGACAGCTTGCTGCTTTTTTAGTCCCTTTTCCCCTCCCTCTCCCATCCTCCTTTAATTCTCTTTCCCCACTTCCATCCTTTCAGGTACTGATCTTAGCACATGTTTGTGCTTACAGTGTGTTTCCATTCACGGAGGTTATCCTGTATACGGTGCACCTCTGTTCTGCTTGCTTCCCCTTCGCCTGTCCCTCACCCTTACCCGTGGGCTCTCAGACCCCTTCCCATTTGCAAGACATCCACCCTCTTGTCTCCTTCCCATTTTTATTCTTTGCTTTTATTCCCTGTACTCACAAGGAATGCCGTATGGTATTAAGCTTATGTGTCTGGTTTTACTCAATGTATTTTCCAGCATCCATTTTCTTAATAAATGCCTGAAATTGCCCTTCTTGACAGCGGAGTAGTAGTCTATTACGGGCAGACCCTACAGTCTCTGTGCATTTGTATGTTGGTGGGTAAACAGGCTTCTGTCAGGATTTAGCTACTGTGAACTGTGCTGCTGTAAACATATGTGCATGTTTTGTTGCAGTACGATGTGTTAAGCTCTTGGGAATGACACCTAGAAGGGGATGGCTGGTCTAACTTTTTATTTGAATAACTCTTACATGCAGTACTGTAATCTACAGAAACAAAATTACAGTACTGTGCAGTATAATCAAAGAATTACTGTATAAACAAGGCATACCATGCAGAAACGACAGTGAGGCTCTGCAAACAAGACGTACAGAACTATACAAAAAAAAAAGCCACCCATCCGGTACACGAGGACTGCTGCCACTCTGGCGGGTTCAGCTGTGTGCCTGGGAGCTGCTGCTCCCGTCGACGTGCTGTTCTGGCAGCCGTGCTTTCCTGCATGCTCAACTCTGCTCCTATCTGGGACGTTTCCTGCTGACTTGGTGAACGTACGTATGACGTCATCTGTGTCACCTTCCCAAGTGTCATCTGACAGCTGCTGGATGGTCCTTCCTTGCTGTCTTTTTTTTCTTACTTTTTTCCCATAATTTACCATTTTGCACTTAATTTCAGATACTCTGTCTTCATGTTGGTCATTTCTACAATTTATGAACCGTTTACAGTTCACTTCAGGCACTTCTGCCTAACATCTTTTCAAGGATTCTGTATCCCTGTTGAACTGGTCTTTCACGTTTTGAACCTTTTTGGTCATGTCATCCAATTTTTTACATATTTCCCCTATAGTCACCTTGGGCACAGCAAGTGATAATGATGAGAATTTTGTCATGTTTCCTCTCCGAGCTCATCTAGATTGTTCATCCCTTCTGTGAGCTTCTCTTTGCTCTCCCATTGGCGACCCCGTGCTGTGTTTAGAGAGACGGGATACCATGAGGCCCCGTGCATGTCTCTGTCATTGTTTACGATTCCCTGAACTCCAGATACCAATGTGGAGGCAAACAGTTATTAGCCACTGCTGTGTGATCGTTGTGGTAAATTCAGTGGCATCACATGACAGCTGGCCCTCACCAGCCCCAGAGCTTCTCATAGGCAAGCCTGAACCAGAACTAAGGAGACTATGGCTGTAGTGCAGACAGCCTGTGACATTAGAGGCCTCTAGGGTAAGAGCGCGAGGTCAGAAATATCACCAGCCCGTCTGCCTTCTCCAGGGCCGCTCCCCAATGATTTCACCCCCGAGCCTGGCCTCCCTCAACAGGACACAGCCCTGCAAGCACCCGGCCCTTCGAGGTCTCCCAAGGTAGATAACACAATCTCCTGGGTGTCAGTCGGTTGTCACCACTGGTGCCCTGTCCTGAGGAGACCACAGAAGCAGACCCCAGCATGCACTTGATCCTGGAATCCCTGGAGCTGGGCCTTGAGTAGGCTGGGGTGGGGCGGTCCCCTGGATGCTCCCAGGGTCTCTTGCTGGACACACTGTACAGACTGTACAGGCCTCTTTTGTATTATTTTTCTCTAGCAGCTGGCAGTGGCTGGAGATAAAGGCCTAGGCTTAGATTTCAGCACCCCAGACAAGCAGTCCTCAAACTTCGTGATTTCAAAGCATCTTAAAAATTAGAATGCCTAGGAGCCTTTGACTGTGTGTTTTATTTATTGGTATTTGCTATATTAGAAATTTTAAACGTTTTTTAAAACAGCTCATTTTAAAGTAACATTATAAACTCAAGATGTTAACATAACTAAAGGATAAAGACAAAAGCAAAAATCCATCTTAGTCACGACACTAGAGGTAACTATTTTGAGGCCTGGGGTTGAGACAGGGTCTCACTACGTAGTTCGGGCTGGGTTGAACTCATCACGTATCCCAGGCTGGCCTCTAACTCAAGGATCCTCCTGCCTCAACCTCCCGTGTGCTGGGGTCACGGGTGTGGTGGTGAACTAATTATTCTACTTAGGCTTTTGTGTATTACCTTGTCCACTGACAGTGTGGGTGTGGTGTGCATAGTGGAATCATAGCTGTAGACTTCACCTAACCCCAAGTATGTTCTGTCCTTAAAGATATTTCAAGCACTGTAAATGTGGTCCAGTGGTAGAGAATGAGGCCTGGGGTTTAATCCTGAGCACCGAGAAAAAGAAAACTCGGAAGCTTCTGTTTTAATGGCTGCATGAGCAGACTGTATCTAGCTGTGTTTCTAGCCTAAGCATACTGGAGTTCACTGTTCATTTGCTGGTGCACATCCATCGTTTCTCTAAACGCTTTCAGGAGCACCTTTTATTTCAGTCGTTTTCTGTTTTGTTTTCCTTAGGAACTTTGTGAATTTGGCGTCTCCAGCTTAAGGTTTAAGAGCAAGCTGTAGCTCCAGGTTACACCTGCTGCCCTGTGCAGCCCAAGTGTCCAGGCTCCTGGGTCCTTCTCTTCTGCCCTCAAACTGGAGCCAGGGGAGGGTTTCCCAAAAGGATCTTGCACATGAGTGGACAAGAGAAAGCAGAAAGAATAGCGTTGTCCTCAGAGCCCCGAATGGGGTCTGGTGGCCCCGGGGCCCTGAGCTCTGGGGCAGGGCGTTATATTTGGGATCTGACTTAAGTCTTCTGAGCAAGAATAAACAGCTCCCTTGGAGAAAAGCCTGGGCTCCAGGAGCAGCACAGATCAGCGATGGGCAGCAGACTGAGCCCCACCCCGCAGCTGTCCCCTCTGGTTCCTGCGCTGTTCTCAGTGCTCGACCCTGTTCTTGGAAGATGCTGCCATGGCCCTAAGTTCAGGGGGAAATAGAACCATTTAAGCGCGTGCCTCGGCAGTGCATGAGTGCAATGAAATGGTCAAATTCCAGTGCTGCTGTTTATTTGGCCTCTACTAAAAGGGGTTTGTGTTCGCCCAAATGAAGCAGCCTCAAGCTCCTTTATGGATTCCCCTTCCAGTCCTTGGATCCAGCTCTCAAGGGAATCACTTCCAGGGTGCGAGTTGCCACCCTCCCTGTGGCTGCTGAGCTGCAGTTCCTATGCAGCCCCAGCTGACTACAGCTGCCCCACCCGGGGTCTCCTGGGAATCCTTGCACAGCTGCCCAGGGAGAACCTCTTCCTGCCCGGCTCCACGCCACCCAACCTGAGCAGGGAGCCGCTGGGTGCAGAGAAAAGTGATTGAGGGTGCCACAGAGGTGAAGGGCAGGAGGCTGGTGCAGTGCTGCTCTCGCAGGAAGAGGCACCCCCTCACCACCATGCTTTTTTATGGAGCAGACCTCACGCGTCCAGTTCCCTGTGTAAAACACGCAAGACACCTGGCACGGTCATCTTTGTAGTGGTGCTGAGCACGGCTGCTTCCGCTCTCCAGTGCAGGTGACCTGCTGGGTAGGAGGCTGATGTCCTCGTCCATCACCAGGTCGCCAAGGCCTCAGCTCCTGTGCAGCTGCACAGCAAGGAGGCTGGGCCAGGGGGCTGGAAGCTGGATGCTCGGCCTGTTGCTGAAGCAATGCACTGGGAGAACAGTGCACATTGTCGCCTGTCATCCAGGGACTGTGTCCCAGGAGCCTGCTGGCCTTGGGCTGGCTGGATGGCATGTAGCACTGAGGACAGGGCCCAGGCCACTCCAGCTGGAGACAGAGCCTTCTGGCCACAATCCCTAGGTCCGAGAGGCTTGGTGAGGCTCAAAGGAGTTTGGACACTCGGGCCACATATGTGGGGAAAGCACTGGCACTGTTCCCTGTGGCATGATGGAGAGCAGTGCCATGTGGCTGCCCTGACGGAGCCCTGCTGCCATCCCCATGCAGAGCCCAGGAGGCGCCACGTCGCTGGACACTTGGCCTATTGCTGGGTTCTCACCCTTCCCACCCTCCCTCCTGTGCGTGGGTGCAGGGATGATTGATGCATTTCTCTCCTTTAAAAAACTGGGTTGTCTGTTTGCTTGCTTGCCTTTCTCCCTTAAGCTGTGTGGCCATTGAGCCCTCACTGACGGATACAACTGCAGGCGACCAGCTCCACCCTGGAAATCCTGGCCCACACTGTTGCCCGAGGGGCAGCCGGGCTCCTTGCCCAGGGGGTGTGCTGAGGCCCAGTGGCCGTGCCCCTGCTCAGGGAGCCCACCGCAAATGGTTTGCTTTCAGCTCGCCGACTCCCTGGTGCCCATGGAGATCAAGCCTGGTATCTCCTTGGCAACCGTCTCAGCCGTGCTGCACACGAAAGATAACAAGCACGTGCTTCAGGTACCGTGAGACTTGTGGGAGGGAGCCCTACCCCCAGGAAGGCCCACTTGCTGACAGCTGCCCACACCACAGGCCAGAAGCAAGGCGAATCCCAGACAGTGGGCCCCTAGTCCAAATTCTCCGGCACATGGCTCAAAGGCGGGTGGGGAGAGAGACCTGTCACTGGGTTGGGCCATGTATCATTCTAGATGGCTTCTGCAGTTGGTGACACTCCAAGCTTTTGTGCTCACGTTCCTCACATGAGTACTGCAGGGCAGGAGAGGTGCTGTGGGGACCAGAATAGTAGTTGACACAGCCCTTTCCTTGGAGGGCCAGGAAATACACAGCCTGAAACCAGTGAGGCCTGGGGCCTTAAACATGGGAGGTACTGCCCCCTCAGCAGTCTCAAATGCCTTTCCCACTCGGACTCAGTTCACCATCGCTGGCCCTCAGAGTCCCCATGAGTGCTTCAGGGGCAGCGCACTGTGAAGAATTACTGGACTGAACTGGATTGATGGGACGTTAATAGTTAGATCTTGATTTTTTAAAAAAAAGCACAGATCTTAGCAGCCCAGGGGTGGTGGTACCCGTCTATACTCTCAGCACCTGGGAGGCTGAGGCAGGAGGATCACCTCGAGTTCAGGCCAGCTTGAACTATCGAGCAGGGCCTTGTCTCAAAGACAACAAAAGACAGGTTTTAGGCAGGTAAGGTGGGACCCACGTGGACAGCTTGCATTTGCCTGGACTCAGGTGCTCACTGATTCTCACACTCTGGGTGGCTCTCGGTGTTTGGGGCCCCTTGGCCTCTATCACAGGAGAGGCCACTCAGAGCAGGGCAGGGCAGGTGACTCGCGTCCTTGCTGAGGCCCTGCTTCCACTCTGCTCAGCCCCCACCTCGGCCGGCACAGCCCACCAGCAGCAAGAAGAGGAAGCGCGTGAGCGAGGACGTCCCGGACTGCAAAGTGCTGAAGCCTCTGCTGAGTGGCTCCATCCCCGTGGAGCAGTTCGTACAGACCCTGGAGAAGGTGAGCAGTCGCCACGGCCACCATGCACCCTTTCTCCGAGCCAACCTCGGCGAGGGGCACGGGGCAGAGGATGGGCCAAGCGCCATCTGTCACAGACTGCCCGAGTGGAGCTCAGTCACTCAGTCTCAGGCCGGGGAGATGGGGGTGAGGTGGTCTCTCCCACTTCCGTGTCTACCTACACTGCAGCCCACAGACCACATCTCCCAGAAAGGAGACTGTTATCTCCAGTTGGCACGGTTTCACTGGTGTGAGCTGCCAGTGGTACACACAGACCTGATCACGTATTGGTCTTTTCACCAACAGTGTTAACACAAAGCCACCTGATGGGACAGTCATGCATGCACCACCAATGGGTCCAGGTACCCAGCAGTGTGACATGAATTATGGCCGTGTCGTGGGTGTTGGAAGACACTCAACCTTAAAAGCTGGAGTTTGGGCTTGGCCAAGGGCCTTCAGCATGGGGACAGGAGTCTGCTAGGAAGGGGAACGCACTGCTGCAGGCTGTGGTCCACACCACACCAGTGCCAGTGAGACTGCCCTGTGTCCAGCCCATCTGAGCTGCCTAGCTGCAGGCTGCGTCCTGCCCACAGGCTGGCTATTCCCTGCCGGTCTGCCAACTTCCCCAGCTCACCTGGGCCCACCCCGTGTCCTGTGGCCATTCTCAGGCCTGCGCAGGAAGCCTGCACTCTGCCTTCCTCCCCACCGCGTCTGGCAGTGGGCAGACAGCCTGGTCACTGCTCTTCACCTGTGCGTGTCTCTCGTAGGCACATCTGCCCCTTCCTACCTCTTGCTTCAGTATGACATCTGCTGTGTGGGAATGGTCTGCAATTAGCACAGACAGAGCTGGAGGCCGGCCTGCTCTGCGGCTTCTCCCTGAGGCGGATCTGCCAACAGCAAGGGCGGCGGTGCCAGCTGTGAGCGGGGCCTCCTCCCGGCACTGCAAACCCCACTCAGCCCAGTCTGCCTTGGCAGGCTGCGGGCCTTCTGCCCTGTTGTATGAGCTGGCCTTGCTCCTGCAGAAGTGTTTGAGGGATGTCAAAAATTCCAGTTCCTAGAATGTCCCGTTGAGCCCGAAATAGCTCCCCACCTTTTCAGTTGGCCCTCGAATTTCAAGGTGTTCACCTCTCTTTTCTCTCTTCTGGAGCAGCATGGCTTCAGTGATATCAAGGTGGAAGACACGGCCAAGGGCCACATTGTCCTGCTGCAGGAAGCAGAAACGCTCATCCAGATCGAAGAAGATTCGACCCACATCATCTGTGACAATGATGAAATGCTCAGGGTGCGGCTGCGGGACCTCGTTCTCAAGTTCCTGCAGAAGTTTTGAGGGGACCTGGAGCCATTTCCTCTCCCCAAACATGGCCCCCAGACATGCTGAGGAAGGGGGTGACGGCCAGGATGCTCATGGTGTCCTCTGGCCTCAGGAAGCACGTGGCTCTGGCTTCTTGCCTTTATTTGGGCGAGAACTTTCCCGTTACACCTAAGAGTCCTTGTCAGCCCCAGCCCTCATGACCACTGAGGGTGACATGAGCATGGACAGGGCACAAAAGGGTGGCCAAGCTCCTGTGGTGTGGGCCGTGCTCCACTTTCAGGGCTGCAGGCCTCCCCTCGGGAGCAAGTCTTCACTTACCTGCACAGTGCTGCATCTGAAAAAAAGGCGATCCAGAAACTTGGGTCTTTCACACTGCAGCCACTCTTAATAAAACTTATTTTTATACCAGTATGCGTGCACTGTCAAACCTCACATCTGAAGGAAGAATGAAAATACAAAGACCATAAACTTAGAAAAATACCACAGCGGATGTCAGCTGATGTATACATTAAATCCGGTAATGCTGCATTGTTTGTAAAAATACAAAGATTTCTTCTTAATTTGTATGAAGTCCTTTAAGTTCTGCTGCATGAAAAGCACTGAGACCAGAACCCCAGCCATGACCTCTGGGACAGCTCCTCGCAAGCAGCCTGTGTCACATCACCACGACAGGGTCGCAAGGTCCAGCGGGGGCCCCAGGACTGCATCACCTGGCAACACTGAGTGCACCTTGCCATGTCCAGACAGCGGGGTCTGTGCGGGTGGTTCTCAGAGCATGTGCGCCTTGACGGTCTGCTAGCGGACCCTGCCTGCCACTGCCTTTCCCTCAGATGCCCGTGGACATGTAAGGAGAAGTGAGGCTTCGCAGAAAAGTAACCTCACACCACAGCTGCTTGTGATCCCAGCACTCTGGGAGGCTGAGGCAGGAGGATCACAAGTTTGAATTCAGCCTGGGCACCTTTGCAAGACTCAAAAATAAAATGGGTTAAGGATGCAGCCAGGCACAAAGGTCCTAGGTTCAATCCCTAGTCCTTTCCACCCCACAAAAGCATTACTGCATTTGAAATAATGCTATCTAACAGTTTAAACCTGGTATTTGCCTGGCCACATCAGGTGTAAGGTAGATACACAATAAATTCCAGGGTACTAAACACATTATCACCTAACATGTTTGCTAACAGTGTTTAAGTTATGCACTGTAAATTTTTTAATAACCACTTATGGTTTCCACACTTCATGAGCTCCTCCAGGCATGAGGACCCATGCCTTTAATCCCAGCATTCTGGAAGCTGAGACAGAAGGATCACCCAAATTCAAGGCCAGCCTGGGCTACATAGTCCAGAACCATTCTAAACTATGTAGCAAGACCTTGTCTCAAAAACCTAAAAAATAAGGAGCTGTTATGTTAGGGCCTTTTCTAATCATCAGTACCTTCTCATCACTGGTGATGTGTGTCAGCCGCTTGCGGCTCTAGTGCACTGTGCTGTCTCCAGTAACTTGGCCAGCCAAACGGAGTGATGGACAACAGGTTTCCCTGAACATCACAGATATGAGGGAGCAAAGTTTTAGGACGTGAGCACCTCAGGAACAACGTCCATTCTCTACCTTGTCCTGCCGTGAGGCTGGAAGAAAGAGCATGACATAAACTGTCAGAAATCCATAAAAATCAAGTGGTCCTGGTACTCGGGAGGCTGGGGCAGGAGGACGATGAGTTAAGACTGTCTCAAGCTTTTAGTAAGTGCAGACCCTGGCTTCTATCTCCAACATAAAGGCGATGGGGGTGAACGGGCTGGAGCACAGCGCCAAGGCTCTAGCATCCGTCTCCATCTCCGTCTCCAGTACTGAGGGAAAGAAAAGCCCAAGCCCTAGAAAGCTGTGTTAATCAAGTCAGGGTGGTGCCAGCACCAGGACTGCGGAACCGGGACAGCAGGAAGACGGCCCAGAAACGGGATTGCTGTCTTCCACACTGTCCCCGAGCCCACCGCACAGAAAGGAGAGTCTGTAACAAATGCCACCAGGAAGGCCTCACCAGCAGAGTAAGGCTCGGAGCCAAGGCCTGTGCACACCACACCCAACCCGAACAGGACCAGGACCTCACACAGGCGTAGTAAACACTGTGGGAGACGTTCTTTGTGACTTCAGGCAGCCATGCATTTCTTGAGTCACAGAAAACCCTAACAGAAAGGATACAGTCTATCTCATCAAAATGAAAACGTCCTGCTCATCAGATGATACCACAGAATGGTGGCGAAACTATGGTCTGCAGGCCACAGTGGGCACAAACAGCCCCCTCTCTCACCAGCTGAGCCAAGTTACCCTAGCAGCCAAGCACTGGCTAAGAGTTATTTTTTCTAAATGAAAACCTTAGCATTTGACTTGTCAGTGTGCTTTGGGTTGCAGTTTGGGCACTTGATCTCTAAAGGGTTTGACATCACTGCCACAGAAGAAATGGGATGGAAAAGCCACAAATTGGGGAAAATACTCTGCTCCATAAGATATACCTGACAACAGAGTAGCATCAATGCACAGAATACATACAACAATACAAGAACACAGCGATGAACTAATGGTCAATTAGTACACCCAGCCGACCCAAGTGAGCATGGTGCTGGGTTTGGAGGCCCCACCTGAGGATCCAGCAGCATAAAAGGAGACCTTGGAGGGGAAGGTGGTGTGCTGTCGATTCTCCTGGAGAAGCTGTCACACTAGTTTTCCTGACATAAACTCAGCTGTTACCATTGGAGGAGTTCAGGTCTCTGCTGTCGCTGAGGAAGGCTGAGGTTCCCTTTGAGGGAGCGCAGGTCCTTGCTTTGAGCATTACTTCCTGGCTCCAGTGCAGATCCCTCAGCCTGCTGGCACCGACCCTTCACCCTGCTGGCGCAGACTTTCCAGCTTCCACTGACCTTGGGATCTTCCCAGCTCAGATCCATGAAACACTGTCATGGACTCTGGGCCTCCAGCTGGACTCATGTAGGACGTTGCCCTGGGATCTAGGCCCTCAGCTGGATTCTTTGGGTCTCTAATGCATGAACAGATTTCCTGCACTCCTCTGTGTTTGACTTTTTGGGTGACTATTACAAAATAATCCTATAAATTATGTGTCCCATATTAAATCTATTCCCTTGCAAACCCTGACTACAACAAACATGCATGCTATGGAACTTTATTCAGTCATTAAAAAGTAACAGAGCATCAAAGCCTAAGAAGATAAAGGAACTGTGACTGCAGATTATTCCCAAAAGCCGATCTGAAAAGCTTCCCACTGGTTCCAACTTCAGGGCGTTCTGGAAAAGGCAGAACTGCAGAGTACAAAGTGGGGGGTCAGCAGCTGAGTGTGGGATTTCTTGGGCAGTGAAACTGCCCTGAATGAAAGCGTGACCATAGACAGGCGTCATCACACCTTCACCAAAAGCCATAGCACATGCCATTCAAGGAATGAACCTTAATGGAAACAAGTTCAGTGACTGTCAGGACTGTGTCAACTGTAACAGCATGTGTCACTGTATTAATAAGGGAAATGGGCAGTGAGATGATGAGATGGGAACACTGTTCTCTGCACTGTTTTTAATAAACCAAAAACTGTTCCAGAGCTGGGTATTTAGCTCAGTGGCATAAGCGCCTACCTGGCAAGCACAAGATCATGAGTTTGATCCCTGGTACAAAAAAAAAAAATGTTAGCACATGCCTGTAATCCTAGCACTCTTTGAGGCTGAAGTAGGTGAGTCCATCAAAAGTTCAAGCCCAGCCTGAGCAACTTAGTAAGACCGTGTCTCAAAAACTAAAAGAGCTGGCAATGTAGCTCCATACATTGGCTCTGGGTTCAATCCCTGCTACCAAAAAAAAAAAAAAAAAAAAAACATGAAAAATATAAGGGAAGAAAAGCAGTACTAAAAACAACTCATTTTATTGGACATTTTGTTCAGATACTAAAGGAAATACACAGAAACATTATAAACACATGAAAAGGTGCTTGACATCATCAGTCATTAAGGAAATGGAAGCCTATATTCCCAGCACACAGGAGGCTGAGGCAGGAGGACTGCCATGAGTTTGAGGCCAGCCTGAGTTACAGCTCAAAATCCAGTCTCAAAACCAAATACAAATGGAAACTGAGACTGAAAGTTACCACTCATTCACCAGCACTGAAGACCGGAGCCGGATGCTTCTGACCAGCGCTGAAAGCACAAAGCCAATCACTGGAACAAGGGTTAGCAGTTTCTTACAAAATCATACATTAAATTCACTGTATCGGGGCTGGGGATTTGGCTCAGCGGCATAAGTGCCTGCCTTGCAAGCAGGCAGTCATGAGTTCGATCCCCGGTACCGATAAAAAGGACAAAGACAAAAAAAAAAAATATTCACTATACCCCCGGCTCACTGGGGGGTGTCTGAGAAAAAGAAATCCACACAAGGACTCGCACAGAGGGTTCACAGTAGCTGTGCAGAGTAACCCAAAGGCTGCTCAGATCAGCCCCAGTGCCTGCCAAGCAAACGGGCACGCTTTATGATGTCCACACAAGGACGTCCTGCTCCACAGCAAGAAGTGACAGCTGGTGTGCACGGCAACCCTGGTGGATCACATTAAGCTTCTAGAAGCTCTACGGAAGGCGAACCTGATGGGAAAACTAACCCCAGGTGAGAAAAGACCGTGGTCTCAAGGTCTCGGGGTATAGGTGGGGACTGGCTGAGAGGCAGCAGCAGGGAGCGTGCGGGTTAGCAATGAGGCCCTACATCTCAACAGGAGTTTGGGTTACTCAGGTATTTGGTCAAAATTTGAGGATACACATTTTAAGATTTGTGTATTTCACTGTGTATATTTTTCATTAAACTACAGAAATAAACACTGACCTCTAACTGATGTGTATTCTTAAGTATTCGGAAATGTATTAATGTCACTACTTTCTTAGGAATGAAACAAAGCTGAGCATAGTGGTGCACGCCTGTAATCCCAGCACTCAGGAGGCTGAGGCAGGAGGATGGCTGTGTTTTAGGCTAGCCTGCTCTATACAGTAGGATGCTATCTCAAAAAAACAAAACAAAACAAACTGAGATAAAAGTGTGACCAGAGATAGAGGACAGAGAGATCAGTGGTTATAAGGCAAAGTACATACCATAAAAAGGTTATACAGTTTATCACAGAAACCTTTGTTCAACCCTACTGTATGTCTAGAAGTTTATATAATAAATTGTTGGCATCAACAATTTAAATAAATGGAATTTAAACAGCAGAAGTCCTAACATGAGAGCTCTACAGTATGACTAGGATTTTAGCTAGGCAAACAAAGGTAAAACAAGAAATAGCAAGTGGAAGCTGGCCCTGGCAGGCTTCCCACCCTTCCTCAGTGATCTCTGCACCTTCGATCAGGGCAAGCTCGGATCTCCCCCCCCCCCCCGGAGCGATTTGCACCGACCTGGTCTCACCGAGTTAGCTGGATCCAGGGAGAACTTCAGAGCCCCTCACACCAGGCCAGCTGTCAGCTGGGATGCTGAAGGGGCTCTGTGCAGTTCACCGAAGCATCCATGAGGTGTGGGAGGCAGTGGTAAAGCATCAGCGAGCAGGGGAGGCCAAGGACAGTGGGGAGAAGGGCAGGGACAGCCTCAAGGAAGCATCCTGAAGGGGACAGCGCCATGACCTCGAGAACAAGGCCTGGCCACTCAGAGGGAATGCAGCCCCCAAGCACAGAGGGGTTGTACCCAGTGTTCACCTCCATGTGAAGCCAGGACTGTCACGTGACTAACAGATGGCAGAATTTTTGCTGTTTGAAAGGTGAGACTAAACCTCGAACTAATGGCCTGCTCTCCATGGCTTGTCTTGGGGCACCAGGACTTGGGTGCACCTCGCCTCCTGAGCTCAGACCCTTAGGCGCCGCAGCAGCCACCACCAATTACTGGCTCACCTGGGAGGCCCGAGCTACAACAGCCCAGAAACAGCTGAGGCCTGCGCTCCTCTGGGAGCTGCATTGTGGCAGGGTAGTGGCTGGCTTTCAGGTGCGGCTACCCCAAGATCATCAGTGCCCCGAGTCTCCACCTCCACCCAGCTCCCGCATGGCCCATGACTCAGCGACAGCTCCATAGCCCACAGCCACCAGGAAGCTCTAGGATTGAGAGCGCTCACAGTGACTCCTGTCAGGTGACGACTGCCACTCAGCAAGCCTGTCCCCCGCCACTGGACATGCACTAAACCCCCACGGAAGGCACTCTGCCAGGATTTGCATCCCACCGAAATGAGTGATGCCCTTGGGCAGTCTGCCCAGGCACGGTGTGGAACCAGGCAGCACCTTGCCGAGGAAAATCACAAGACTTCTGAGCTGCTTGAGTTAAAGTCTCCATTTATTTTTTTTTCTTTTTTGTTTTTTTACAAAAATCCAACATAGGACCATTGTGCTCATGTTGAAGGGTGGGTGACAGACGTGGTGTGACAGAAAAGCGCTCCCTTACAAGGAGTGCCTCAGACCAGGCAGCTGGGGGACAATGCTCCTGCCCCCCAAACAGGACCTGTCCTCCATCTCCCCGACGTAGGAGCCAGCAGTCCTCAAGGGAAAGCTGAGGTCAGGTGACAGACTGTGACCTATGGACAACAGGGAATGGGGCAGGGGGTGGCTCTCCTGGGTCAGTCCCTGCTGGTGTCCCCTGGTGAGCAGTGTCAAGATCCAGGGCCCTGGGCCACCCCATCCCGCCTGGCGGAGTATCAGCTTTCATTCCCAGAAGCACCTACAGGGCCACACATACTGTCCCACTGTTCATCTCCTGTGCCAGGCAAGTCCTTAAGGACACACGGTCACGTCTACCATGGCCTGCATCTGGCGTCCTTAAAGCTAGTGCCTGTCCTGGCAGGTCCAGATCATGCCATCCATGCCTGTCCCGATGTGACAGCCACCCTGCAGCATACAGTGATGGCATCCACTGAGTGACAGATACTCAGAAACTCCTGACCCAACCCCAGAAGAGAGGCTCCGACCTGGGGTCTGCTTCCCCACACAGCCTACTGTGCCAGCATCAAGTTCTTCGCATTAAAGGAAACCTAAAATAGCAGCCACGGGTACAGCTCAGAACAGCACGCTCTTTAGCTCCCCTGAGGGAAGGAGGCTACTCTTTAGAATCAAGTCCAAAGTCAAGAAAGGGCAGGTAGAGAGCAGGGGCGGGGGCACGGAGCCTCAGCCAGTCACAGAGAAGTGTAACTCGGGTCCCTGGGCCCACCAGACAGTGGGGAGCCCAAGGGAAGGGCCATTCAGACAGGAGGTGTCAAGGTCCAGGGAAGACGGCGGGCTTAAGGCATGTGCATGACCAGGACAGACCTGAGCTTTTGTTCCGTTTCTAGAAAACTATTCTCAGCTCTACTTTAAGAAAGTAGGGCTCAGAAAAACAGAAGTCAACAGAGGCCAGATTTCTGACAAACGGCAACTCTTAGTTTCCCTATGCTACCAAGACCAAAATGAGCTTATTTCACTTCCACCCCAGGGAACAGAAATTCAAACCAGTAGAGGAAAATGGCAAGATGAGTGCAATGCCTGCAATTCCCAGCACGCTTGGCCTCCCACCGTCCTGGCATACTCCGAACCCCAGAACCCAGGGGTGCTGCTGCCAGCCTAGATTTGGGCGTCCGAAGCCTCGGGTAACAGTAGAGGCCCAGGCAGCAGAGGGGGAGGCGAGGTTCCCCAAGGGAGCTCCCCTGTGTGCCTTCCCGGCCAGCGGGCAGGAGCCTCCAAGGACCGCTCGCAGCCTGCAGGGCCCTGGGCCTACCTGGCGGCACAGCCCGAAGCTTCCGCTCACCCATCAGAGAGGAAACCTGCCGAAGAGCCCGACACCAAAGCTAGTGTACTACTCACTCCGCTCTCTTGTTCTCCTCTCCCAAACAAGCGTGAGAATGGGAGCGGGTGAAGTACCTGGACAGTGCGGCCTAATAAACTCTCCCGACCCCCAGGCTGTGGAAGACCATGCACCGCCCAGAGCAGCAGGTCCTCCCCGAGGCCACCTGAGGGAGGAAGAGCCAAGTCACAGGTGGACAACTGCAGGGACAGACACAGACCAAGGGGGCTTGTCTCATCCACAGAGCCCTAAGAGGCCAAGTCCATCCCTCTCCTGTTTCAGGGATCAGATGCCCCAAAAGCAAGGAGATGAAAAGCAGAAGCCAGTTGGCACTGGCCAGGACCCACCTCCACTGAAACACGGACCGTGAGGGCCTGGGTCCCTCCTCTGGAGAGACAGGCAGTGACTTCCAACTCCCTCACCATATATATTGTATATATATGGATGTATATGGGTGTGAATGTGTGCATATATATGTATATATATGCATATATGTATATACACGCACACTTATATAAATAAGCCTCAAATGGCAGATCTGGAACTTCCTTTTTAAATAATAATAGTCGATACTGATTTTAAAAACCACAAACCAGTTGTCCTGGGCTTAGGAACTCACAAGTGACTCTCCCAAGTCCCCGAGTCCTCAGTGTACGATATCAGTCAGTGCCCTGTGTAGAAGCCCTGGTCTGCTGACGAGGGCTCCAGGCCCAGTGTGGCCGACTTCAAGACAAAGGCAGCTACCTCCCCTCCACTCCTCCTGCTGCCCCTCCTAGCAGAGGTGTGGGCCACCAAGGGCCTTCGGCGCCTGGAACCTTGGGAGCCACCTCCCTCGCTCTGCCGCCTTCCTGCAGCCTGCAACGCCCCTAGATGAACTTGAAGCACTTGGTCCTGTCGTGGGGCAGGCGTGTCTTGAACAGCACGGAGTCCACCCGGAACTGGGTGTACAGCAGGGGCATGTAGCCGTACACCCTGACAAAGAAATTGATGCACTTGTGCCGCTCGTGGAAGTGGGAGTCATCATGAGACAGAGCCTGAGGGCACCCTGGGCATCGGAAAGTCCACCTTGAGGTCACCTGGGAAGCCAGAGAAAAGCACAGTGACCATCATGGTGCTGAGACCAACAGGGAACTTGTGGATGTATCCACTCAGTGACCGGGTGAAGCCCCAGGCCTACAGACACACCAAGTGTCACCATCTGACCCATATCCTCCTGAAACCTTTACTCCTCTGAAGGCATCCTTGTCCATGGCCAAGGCTTCCCAAACAGCAAAAGCCTCAGGACACGCAGCGTGATCTAGCTCGGTCAGCCCACCTCCACTGTTTATCTCGGTTGCACAGCAAGATACTGGTACAAAGTGCATTCCACCGTGTTTTTAATAATGAAATACTGGACACCATCCAACACACAGAAACTCAACCAGTGCCTGGCCTGCGCCAGGGGAGGGAAAGGTATCCAAAGGAGCTTTCTGTCCTGAGTGCAGCTGCCTTCCAGTAGCCCAAACCTACTCAGTAATTAAGCTCAAGTGTCCAGATTTCTGAGGGTACTTCCATTTCCGAGTAAATGCCTTATGTAGTACTTACCTACAGGCCAGGCACTATTCTTAGAGCTTTGTATGTCTCAGCTCAGGCATTTTTTTTTGATAGACACACCTACTGTACCCTCCCAATCTGATGAAGCCTGGACTCCTCCTAATGTTTTTATGGAAACGATGCTAAAGCATAATAATATACATGCTCTCTTCCTATGCTGTAGCTAACAAGCTGTAAGGAAAGGCTCATGACACCTGTGTTACAGCAACGGTGGACAGAACTCTGCTGTGAGCCACTACAGCCAATGTGATGCAGAAGTAGCTGAGATTTCTGCTGGTGACAAAGCCGTGACTGCACATACTCTCAGGAACCTTAGTCTGTTTCTATTTTTTTTTTTTTTTTTCTTGTGGTACTGGGGATCGAACTCATGCCTTTGTGCTTGCCAGACAGGCACTTAAGCCACTGAGCTAAGTCCCCAGCCCTTAGTCTGTTTTATAACTGAAGGTCACAGGTGAATAAAACTAAGATACCTGACTTCATGTGGCTTCCAAACCCTCTGGGGCCCTTCCATTGGACCTAGGAGTTCAGAGCCCAGCAGCATTCACTTGCCTAACCCATGACGATCTGCAGAGGTAGGTGAGGACCCCTGAGGTATGAGGCTGTCGCAGACTTCCACAGCCTGCCGGGAGAACGCTGTTTGCACATGTGCAGTCCACAGGTCCCAGGCCCTCACCTTGATGGGCGGCTTCCGAGTGACGTGGGAGACGAGGAAGTTCATGGCGATGTCCTCACAGTTGATGTATTCGTCCACCATGTCCCGGATGGCCTGGGGCATCACGTAAGAGTACAGGTAGGCGTAATACTGCCAGGAGACAAGCAAGTGCACACTGTTAAGACAGGTTTTCAGCCTTTAGCAAAAACACACCCAAGGTCTGCAGGCTGGGGTTTGTATGTGGCGGGGACTGAGAGGCACCAACTGTGTTTAGGGGGCTGGGGCTGGGGCTGCCGCGTGTCTTCCAGTGCAGCTCTTCTGCAGGGAGCAGTTATTCTGACTGCCAGCGTCACCTCTCTGGGAAACAACTGCACAGAGCCTTGCCGGTGTCTCACAAAGATGGAAGCCAATATACAAACTTCTCAGACCATGGGAGACCCTGGTTCAGGTGAACAATATTCAGCCTCTGACAGCGGCAACAGGCGGTGAGGGGAAACAGCTAGCTACTGCCTCAGACCTCAGTCACAGGCATCCGGTCTGTCACTGCCTCACCCGCCCCCGGAGTCCCGAGTTGCAGAAACCATTTATTTCTGGGTGACTGCCCAAAGTCTCATGCAATCACAGGGGAGAGGTGATAGCTCGCAGGGTGGGATATTCATCATGGACCCATCCGTCCCCTAGAGTTTATAGCCAACTATGACACTGCAAGGAGGTGAGTCACAAGGGGCATGGCCTGGAAGGGTCCATCTCCCTTATTCCTCCACCAACCACTGCTTCCGGTGCCACACCAGGCACGAGCTGTGTCTCCTCTCTGCCATGCTGCTGGAGCCAGCTAACTATAGACTGAGCTTCTACCAACTGTGAGCCAGAATTTTCGCACCTTTCTTATCGCTCCCTGAGCGATGAGAAAGTCCAACAGTCACTTCTCACCACGGCCAAGCACAACTTCCTGTCCCTGCCACCCTGCTCTGCCCGCATGATTCAGCCTTCTGCAGACTCCCTGCGATATGTCCTCCTCCCGGCACTGTATTCTCAGCACAGCAGTGGCCGAGCCACAGCAGGAAGGCAGCTAAAGATGCCACACTCTTCTCCCTGCCCTCCGAGGGCTTCCGGTCTCTCTGAGAAAACAGCTATAGTCCTGCAATCCCCAACTGAGCCAGGCACAGTGGCACACAGCTGTACGGCTGCGGTCCCAGCTACTGGAGAGGCTGAAGCAGGAGGAGAGCAAACCTAAAGCCAGCATAAGCATCTCGGCGAAACCCTGTCTTAAAAAAGAAAAGTCCCCCAAAGTGATGCAATGAAGCCGGCACCTGCTCACCGGTTCTAACCACAGACTCTTCAGGAACCTTGTGAACTGCTGTTAAACAATCATTATTAAGACAGTAATTATGTAAGCTCAAAATGCAATCAATAGATGTCCACAACTTACCACTTCTTACTGTCTGTGTCTGCAGCAGACACTGCATAATGATGCAAAGCTGCACATTCCTCCCCACGCCCTCCCCAGTGCCTCACACTGATAACCTGCCATCAACAAAGTGCAAAGACCCATAGCATCAGGCTTGGCAAATACCATAAAGTAAGGAAGACGTCAACTTCAAGGTGCTGCAAGAGCCCATGACAAGCAAATGAAGGAAGGAGGAGCCCAGTTAAACTGACTTTCATGTTTCATCCCCTTAGTAAATCTATACAGAGGAATCTTCATCACAAAAAAAGTTTAGCAGAATAATGTGCTGGTCAACATGCAGAGAAGTACTTTAGGGGTAGTGATCCCAAAAAATGAATTCTACTTTTTATAAAAAGATTTAAGATAATTCTAATTTGTTGATCCTTTAAATGGCCTGTGGCTATCATTAGCATGCTAATGAGAAAAAGTGAATTAATTAAACACTATCCGTTCCTTCAAGGAAAAGTTAACATTTTAACCATTAGGCAACAGCAGATTTAAAACAGAAAAAAAGAAAAAAAAAAATGGCGAAACCACCATGAAAACAAACATTTGGAAGTACTTCCAGTATTAAATGCTTTTGTTGCCAAAATATGTTTTTACATTAATCTAGTAAAACATGTAGCTGTGCACTCAAAAAAGAAAATCTTTTCTAACCTCTTTATTAAAAGAAAAATTTAAAAAAAAAAAAAAAGAAAAATTTTTTAAAAATGCAGCTCAAACCCAGGATCTCATATATACTCTGAAAGGGTTCCACCACTGAGCTACGCCCCACATCAGAATCTTTTAAATGAAGTTTCAATGAATTCTTTTGTTTTTTAGTCTTTGTGAGACAGGATCTCACTATGCAGTTCAGGCTAGCCTTGGGCCACTTTATAGCCCAGGCTGGCCTTGAACTTGCAAGGATCCTCCTGCCTCAGCCTCCTGAGTGCTGGGATTACAGTAGTTTACCACCAAGCCCGGTTAAGTTTCAATGGATTTAGAACACAAGCACGCAACACTTTTCCATTTGTTTGCTAAATGAAGTTTGGTATGGCACCACAGAACACAGAAATTAAAATTCCTAAAAAAAAAAAAATACAATCAAGTTGGTAGATCACACTATAAAACATGAGCATTATGATTTAAGCACAGCAATAAGGTACTTTTTCCAGGGACAGTGATTAAAACAAACCATAAAAACATTAAGCGAGGCAAGATGGTGCATACACAGAGGCCCAGTAACTCAGAACACTGAGACAGAAAGACTGCTTGAACCTAGGAGTTAGGGACCATCCTGGGCAACATCACAAGATGCACTCTTTGAAAAAAGACCTATGACTTACTGCAACACGCAGTATAAAATCAGTATTTTCAAAGTTAATAAAACGCACTCAATTATACTGCTCTCTCTAAAACTGAAGAATTCAGGGAAAACATCTTGAAACTTCACTTCTAAATATCTCAGCCTTCAAAAGATCTCTGCAAATACAGCAGTATACACACGTATAATTTATAAATAAGCATTTATGTTAGGTACATGTTCAAAACATTTTACTAATGGGCACTTACAATTTTTTTAAAAAGTCTTTAGTGCTGTAGGTTAGGGAACATCAATAACTCCCATGAAGGGAAATGAGCAAGGCAAGTGAGGGCCACACTACACTAACATGAATGAGAGCCAGGTGCTGGGCACGTGAGCATACGCAGTCCTCTCCACGAGCTCAGGCTCCAGCCAGCTGCTGCCAAGCCCACAAGGGTCCCATCTTCATCTGCACTGCAGTCCAGACCTTGTAAAATCCTGTGATTTTTAAAAGCTGCCAGTGTCTGAGACAACACTAGAGACCCAAAATACTTCTGTGAGCCAATGCGGCTCAACGGCTAGTCTGCCACCTCTGCTCCAGATGTTCAAATTGGGAAAAGCATGAAGCTTCACTAAGTAAGCTGCTTCTCTGAGAGTAAAGGGATCTGACCATCACTTTCAAAGAGCAATCAGAGCTTGAACAGGCAGATCCCTCGGCAAAGACCAAACTGTCAAGGTAGGAACAGACACTGAGAGAAGCCCCGCTCCTGAAGGGAGCAACTGGAGAAGTGACTGACTTCGTGTTAGGCCTGGTTTCCCAGACAACTACCCTCAACTCCCTGGCCCTTTCCCCAGCCTCACCACGGTGCCAAGTTAGGAGAGGAATGAGCTGTGCATGGCAGCCTCACACATTTAGCTTTAAAGAAAAAAGGAAGCTGAATATTTTGTGACTCCATAGTCTAGTTCAAAATGCCCCTAAATATACTTGAAGGCTTTGTCCTTGTTGGACCCACGGTGAGGCAGCACACGGCAGCAGGCGCTGGCAGCAGAGGCTCACCTGATGGTGGAGGAAGAAACAGAGATAAGGGGGCTAGGCCCACCCACAGTGACCTACTTCCTCCAGCAAGGCTCACCTCCTGATGCTTCCTCCACCTCCCAAATGCGCCATCATGGGGGAGCTTTGGGGACCTTCAAGATCCAAACCACAACACCAGCTTCAGTGCCGGGCCACCTCGGGGATGGCAGTGCAGACACAGAAGGTGTCTGGCCTGTGCCCTCAGGTTAACAGAGGGAGAGCCAACTCAGGAAGAGAAGCCAGTGCCTCCTCTCTGGCCTGCATGCACCTCTGCAGACAGCCACTGTCCTGACTTTTTTTTGCAGAGTTGCTTTAAGCATTTTGATCAACGTCTTTAAAACCAGGAATGCCCTCCAGCATAGAAAAGTCACAAGAAGCACAGGAGGAAAGCTAATGCCCAGTGGCAGTTCATGCCGCACAGAGGATCACCTCTTCCTAAGGGGAATGTGCCACCAGCCCCTCACCTTGTGAAAGAAGGCAGCGCCCGTCAGCACCATGGACAGCTCACAGGAGTAGTTGGAGTTGTAGAGCCAGGACTGGTGAGGGAGGTCCCACGCATGGTACCGGCCAGGGAAGCCCACGATGCGGTCCCGAGCTTCTCTCCACACCCTCAAAAACACAAGTGTGCACACACCTGAGTACGCAGCTCTCAGGCTGCCAGGACTGTGAAAATGACTGCCTCTATCCTGCAGGTTTTGCTGTGGTTTTTTTTTTTTTAAATAAAATCAATCACAAGGCCAACAGGATAAAAACCAATAAACAATATCATAGAAAGCTTCCTTGTTAAGTATCTGTTTATTCCCCCCTCATTTTGTCAGCTATCACCTCTCCAGTCTGATGGGAAGACAAACTGAGGTAACCTGGGAAGAAATTTCCAGAATATGGTAAGTATAACGATCTGCCAAGAGGCAAGAAGAAGGCATCAGTTTCTAGCTCTTACTTATTTTTCTTGAGACAGCGTCTATGTAATTTAGACTGACCTTGAACTCACGATCCTCCTGCCTCAGCTTCCCCAGTCCTGTGATTACAGTCATGTACCCCTAATCTGGTTCTAATTTAATAAGCAAGATCTGTTAGTCCAATTGGACACACAGTCATGTGTGTAACGTCTGGACAGTGCACACTTAACTTTTCTTCCTCTTGGAGGGCACACAATGACATGAGCTTAAAGACCCTTGCCTGGGACCAAAGATGGCCCCTGCAGGAAGAGCACTTGTCCTGAATCCTAATCTGCACAGGGCTGAGGAGGAACCTGCTTAGAAAGCACCCCACAGAAACACACGAACAGCAGAGCTCTTTAAATGCAAGACACGAACTGAGAATTCAGTATGTTTCAGCAGAAACTCATCATTTCCAACTACAGGTAAGGCAGAACAAACAAAATCAGTCCCCAGTTCTCAGGCTGCAAGCAGAAGCTGAAGGCGCCACAGAACCCAGTGAGTCCTGCAGGGCCAGGACACTGAAGCTGCCTGGGACCCCTCACCACCCACAGGGAACTTCAATTCCCAGAACACAGCAGCTTCTCTTCCACTACATTTGAAAGCAGCTAATCCAGCTGAATTAACAGAAAACAAATTACAACTTGTGGCACAGTGTAGTAGCCTTTTGTAGGCTCTCTAGTCACAGCTGACTTTCTTCTTGTGCCTAATATGTACACAGCAAATAGCATTTTAACCCTTACGGACACATCAAGGCCATTAAAGATATCCACACTGCAACCAGCAGCACCATCCATCTCCAGAACTCTTCCATCTTCCCACACTGAAACTATGTCCCTCCACAGTCACCCCCAGCCCTGACCCTCCCCTCTCCCCTTCCTGTCTCCATGGCAGATTCTCTAGGGGTCTCCAGGAGTGGAGTCGCTCAGCATGGCCCTCGGGGTTTCCTCTGACCAATGCTGCTGCTATGATCTATGATCACTCGCAGCGGCCCTGTGGGTAAACGTGTTTTCCATTCTCTCACATGTCTGCCTTTTTCTTGACTACTTGGGTGGAAGTTAGTCAAGGTCTACATTTTGCCAGAGGAAATAATTCTTACACTCAACTGTTTTCTTTTTGAACTTAGGTTCATTTCACTCTCATTCCAGGGAAATAAGTAAATTGGGGAAATTAATAAGGATTTTAGATCAAGGGATGTTCAAACAGGTGAGAAAAGCAGCAGTGGAGAAAGGTTTAGCTGAGCCAGAGACAATGCACCAGTTCCACTACCCAAAGCTAACCTCCAATTCCAAAGGATTAAGAGGCACATTAAGAGGCATTGCAGCCAGGCCTGGTGGTGCATGCCTATAATCCCAGCCCGAGAGGCTGAGGCAGGAGGATTGCTATGAGTGAGGGCAGCCTGAGCTACATGGTGAATTCAAGGCCAGCCAGAACTACACAGCAAGACCTTGTATCAAAAAAAAAAAAAGAAAAAAAGCCATTCGATTATTCTCTCATACCTGAGAAATCTGTAGAAAAATGCCAGAGAAAAGGTCAAAAGCCTTCTAAACCAGGAGCCCTGGGAAGACAGGATATGCTAGTATACTAATGAAATTCTAACTCATCAAGGCAAGACTCCCTTCTGAATCACCCTCAGGTGCGAGATAGCAGCCCTCCTGCTGACACCACAGCTCTGCTCACAGCAGTCCGAGCCTCAGCAGACACCACGTCAGGCCATACCATGTGTCAGGCCACACCTCAGCTCCCTTCCTCGCCACCGGTAACAACCTCTGCAGCAGCAAAGACAATTCCAGAGCTGTTCCATCACGCCCTCCCTTCATGAAAACAGGGAGCATGTGCCAGCTACTCATTACCATGTATACGGGAATACACCCCAGTCAGGCTAGATTTTATTTTAATCACGACTAGCAACTAACTTTGCTTAAAAATATACTAGGAGGCCAAAGAAAATGTAGAGGTTGGTGGGAGGAGAGAAAGAACAATGTTCCAATCTGTTGGAAATGTGTCAAATGATCCTTTACAGATGGATTTAAGGTGGATCCAGCAGAGAAGTCGCTGCTCCTTTCATCTCTTCATCTGTCCACCTCTGCTTACAAACTCGAGCCAAAAGAGCTGAGCACTGGGCAGGGCAGGGCAGGGCAGGCCAGGCCAGGCCAGGCATTGAAGAACAGAAAGGACACACACAGAAAACATCTCTCCCTGAATCAACCTTAATCTGAACAAAACCTCCAGTGCCTCGCAAACTTTCTATGGTCAACAAGAAACTCACTAAAGACTAGTTTTTTACAAAACACTATTCAAATGAACTGTACAGATTCTTTTTTTACGGGGTGGGGGTCTCGCTATATAATCCAGGCTGCCCTTGAACTCACAGCAATCCCCCTGCCTCAGCTTCTGCAGGGATGGTATTATAGACATACGCCACCACATCTGGCTTGCATGGATTCTTAAATATGATACTACAGAACAAAGAAAACATAAATAAATTGGCCTCCATCAAAATTTAAAACTCTGTACTTTAAAAGATACCACCAAGCAAAGTGAAAAGATAGCCCACCAAATGGGAGAAATTCTTTGTAACTCTTATTCCTGATAAGGAACTTGCATTAAGCATATATAAAGAACTCTCAAAAGTCAGTAATGAAAAGGCAAATCATCCAAACAAAACTGTGCAGGATCTGAACAGACATCTGTTCTAAAATACAAAGGGTCAACTGGTCCATCAGCACATGGAAAGGGATTCAACATCCTTAGTCATCAGCAAACAAATCTAAACCGCAAAGCGCACTTCACACCACCTGGCATTGACAAGATGTGGAGAAACTGGAACAAAAAGTGACCCAGAATGTCCACCGATGAGTGGGTGAACTAAATGCAGGGTGGCCGCATCAAAGGATGAAGACCTGGTGCGAGCTCCAGATAGATGTACCTTGGAAACACCCTGCTAAGTGAAAGAAAGCAGTTTCTACATAGTTTCATGTATATGAAATGTGCACACAATCCACAGACATGAGTTTAGCCTAGGACTTAGAAAGGCTGCAGGAAAATGGGAGTGAATACTCACAGCCACAGGGATTCTTTAGATGGGGATAGGGTTTTTCACCACTGACTGTGCTGCTTATAGTAGAAACCAATGAACTGCATAATTAAAGGAGTTAACTGTGTGGTATAGGAATTTGTCCAATAAATGGTACCAAAAGATACGGAATTAAAAGAAAAATCCTAAACTTCTATGTCACTGCAAAATGTCCAACTGCTATACAAGTTACAGCCAGGCGTGCTAGTGCACACCTATAATACCAGCATTCAGGAGGCTGAATTAGGAGGACTGTTGAGAGTTCAAGTGCAGCCTGGGCTGCGCAGTCAATTTAAAGTCGGCCTAAACAACACAGCAAGACCGTGTCTCAAGAAATAAACAGACAAAAAGGTACTAGACAGGTTTTGAAATACTCGCCCTCCCTTTTGGTACTCACCTCCCTGGGGATACATAACAGACTGACTCTGGCACCACACAGCATTCCTGTCCCTCCATGCTCTCCCCACTGTACCCTCACCAGAATGCCTGAGCCCTAACAGCAACCAAAGCCCGAGAGGCAGAGGGCAGCAGAGTGCCGTGGCTGAGGGAGAGGGGATCCCAGCCTGTTCACCACTCATCCACCGTTCACTCCGGCTTCCCGGCTTCACTCTGCAATCCCAGGTACCACCCTGGGTACAACCACCTCCACTCGGATTCATCAAGGACCAGTGAGGAAACTCAAAGTGCTAGGCTGGTCCTTGCCCGACACTCTGGACTCAGCACCAGCACAGCAGCCACAGTGGCAGCAGCTTCTCCCCCATCCCTTCTTCCCCCTGGAGCTTTGTTTCCGAGCCCACCCGCTGGCATCTCTGTGGGCCCCTGGACTCCAGCCCCGTTCCATTCCTCTACACAGAGCAGCGTGTTTCTTCTGCCTGCTCGGGAAGTCAGTTCCCATTCCTCTGATCACAGAGAATCCCAACTTCCTCTACAAAACTACTCATCCCACAGGGTTTGCATTTGAGAGTAATGATGCAGCTCCAGCACACCAGAGAACCCCACTGTGCGTCCTGGGGAAGAGCCCATGTGAGCACAGAGCGAAGCAGGCGAGCCCATCCTATATCAGCCCTTCTGCATCTCTCCACCCTGGGACCACACATCCCTGTGCCACCACAGCCAGGCCAGAGTTCTGCCTCCTGGAACCAAGCGTCTCTGAACAGAGACTCGCCCTCACCGAAAGCCAAACATGATCTCATCATGGCGGAGGTGGGCATCATCATCGATGGACAGGATGGCCTCTGTCTCGATCTCATTCCAGGGCAGGAAGCGATTGTTCAGACTGTTCTTCTCGGTCCGGACCACCTGCAGCAGGGGAGCAGAGGCGCAGGAGTCAGCACTGCGGAAGGGGAGGGAATTGGGAAGCACCCACAGCCCAGGACCGCAGCAGTGCCTCAACACCATGACTGGGCCAGTCCAGCACAGGCATTTCAAGAATACCCCAACCTGAAAACTCAAGAAATGGAGCATAAAGATTTCACACTGCAAGCCGTATTCAGTAACTGATTTTCCTGTGGAAAAAAACTAATGTGAGCATTATTTTACAATAAACCTTTGTCCAGGGAGACTAAAAGTAACCTTTTCAAGAGAACACAAGGAGGGGCCAGGGGTACAGCTCAGTGGCACAGCATCTGCCTGAGAAGTGCAAGGTCCTGAGTTTGATTTCTTTTTTTTTATGGAGACCAGGATCGAACTCATGACCGCCTGCTTGCAAGGCAGGTGCTTATGCCGCTGAGCTAAATCCCCAGCCCCCTGAGTTCGATTTCTGACACCAAAGAAAAAAAAAAGAAATAGAGTGGGAAAGCAAACCAGAACACACAGTAGCACAGCAGAACTGGGACTGCAGGTGCCTGCTCCTGACTCGCCCTGCTGACCCAGCAATTCAGAACCAAACTCAGAAATCCATCCAGTCTGTATCCTCAAGGCCTTTTTTGGCAGTTAAACTGACAGGGGATAAAAGCAGAGACTATCCTGTTGATATAACTACTTCATATCCACAGTACTGACTACACACACAAAGCTTTTTGTGCTTTGTTTGTTCTGTTTGTTTGGTTTTTTTGAAGTTTTTTGAGACAAGGTTTTGCTTTGAACTTCAGGCTGGCCTCAAACTCACTACGTACCCCAGGTTGGCCTCAAAGTTGCAACAATCCTCCTGCTCAGCCTCTGTAATCTGGGATTATGTGCACTGTCGCATCTAGTTTCTCTCTTTGTAGTTTTATTTTGGCACAGGGCCTTGCTAAATTCCCAAGACTAGGCTCAACTCAATATCATCCCGCCTCAGTCTCCCCGTAAAGGTAGGGTTACAAGTGTGTGCCACCATTCCCTGTACTCTTTTTGTCCTTTAGCTAAACCAACTAACGAGCCATCATTTTTATTCTGAAAAAGCAAAGAGAATCTCAAGGGGAACCACCTCTTTTACAAAGCCAAAGGGGTCATCTTGCTCTCCACAGGTGGTTGCACTTGTTACTAACAGGCAGCCCTCCGTGGCTGATGCGCTCCTGGGCCCTCAGTAGCCTCTTCAGCTTCAAACACCTCTCCTTCCATTCTTGTCTCAAAACCACTCTCCCAGAAGACCCAGCTAAGAGCCTCTTACCATACACACCCCATGCCTGCCACTTATCAGACTGAACACTTTTCCTGTGTTCTTGATGCAGAGAACTCATACTTCAGTGAATTCATTCTAACATCCTTACAACAGAATTTACTCAGATAGGAGGGCCCTGGAGATAATGTGGTCCAAGCATCGCTTTGTACATGGAAAAGCTAAGGCCTAAGATGACTGTTATCATGCAAGAGGCAAGCTGCAAGCACCTCCACTCTCCGTGGGACCAACTCGCTCCAAACCCAGCCCTTTTACTGCTATATCGATGCTAACTTTTTCAATTTCAAACCAAAGCCACCTTAAAAAAATTCTTTCTTCCCTCTTCTATCCCTGTCCTAGGGATTGAACCCAAGCCCTTGGGCATACTACAAGCACTCTGTCTCCAAGCTAAACCCCCTAGCCCTTTTTTACTTTGAGACACTAAGTTGTGGGCCTCAAACTTGTGGCCTCTTCCTGCCTCAGCTCCCCAAGTGGCTGGGATTATAGGTACATGCCACCATCCCACCCCCAAAATACATTATTAATTTACATTCCACCAAGGAAAAACGTGCTGCTGATAATGAAAGCATGTGGTCACCTGGAATGTTACTCCATCAAAAAGCTTTTCTTAGACTTTGTCTCAGCTCCACAAAAGTACCAGCCCAAATCAAGACAAAGGAGGCTGAGTAAGGCTCAGTGGCACAGCACTTCCTATCCTATATGAAGCTCTGAGTGCGATTCCTGGCATGAGCAGACAAGAAGACAGTGAGGAAAAGGACCTAAGTCTGCAGTGTGACAACACCAGACGTCCCAATCCCGTGCCACATGCTGAAGACCACCTTCCTCTGCAGCATGTCTGACTGCGGGGGAGCACAGGCTGAGCAGAGATGGAGCAACGACAGTACAAAGGAACCCAGGTGGGGTCAGGATGCAGAGCGGGGTGGCCACCAAATCTCCACTCCCCGGGAGAGCAGGGCGGCTGAAGGGTCAGGAGCCGAAACACATGCCCAGTGCTAGTCGAATGCTGTCTTAAGAAGCAGCCCAGCCCCAAAGGCGTCAGCATGAGTAGTTCCACCTTAGATGGCACACAGGATGGTAGCTGTTCACGTGAACTCCTCACACCACTCATTTTCCTTTCTTACAGCACTCACTTCAGGCAGAACTACAACTCCGCCGGGTCAGCTACCCAGAGTTCCGCCTCAGCTCCAGCAATGAGTACTCAGAGCTCAGAGTCCAGCACTAAATATACACAGCTAAAGACATCTGAAAAATCTGATTCTTAGCCCAGTGTGGTAGCACACGCCTGTGACACCAGCACTTAGAGGCTGAGACAGGAGGATCACTGCAAGTTTAAGGTCACCCTCAACTACACAGTGAAACTCTGCCTCAAGGAAACAAAACAAAAATTTCAATTCCTGAATATGCACTTGTAGATTATTAATTTTGTGGATGAATCTCCAAGAGGATTATCTACAGCAAAGTGAGTAATCCAATGAGGACTCAGTGTGCATTTGCCTTATTCAGTTTTTTGTGTCTTTTTGTTTTATCTTTTTGGTATTGGGAATCACAGTAATGACCTCACCCTTGCCAGGCAGGCACTTAAGCCACTGAGCTAAATCCCAGGTCCTCAGTGTGCATTTGAGTTGCAGAAATCCTGTGCAAAGGACAAAAAGGGAGACTCTGAAGTCAGTAAGAAAAGCTTGGGCTCAGTCCGATTCCCCTACTTACTGGCTGTGTGTACATAAGCAATCGGTCTGCTAAATCACCAGAGTACCATGCTGTCTGCAAAAATACAAGTTACTTATCAGCCACACTTGACATTCCTGTAAAAACCCCAGCTCCAAATCTGAAAATGAGAAACCAGAGATTCTAAAATGATCATGATCTGCTAACAAGGGCATATCCAAAATCACCTGTCCAATTTATAAAATGAACCAAATCCAGAGAACCCACTGTGTTCTTTAAAAACCTGGCTGGGGCCATAATGCTGAAGGTCTAATAGGAAAAGTGGCTTGGCTGAGATTTCACACCAACTGTTTTAGTAAGCGCATGAAAGCCCATCACTTGGGCATCAAGAGACGTGAACAGAGCAGGCTCTGCCACTTCCCGGAACACAATACACCTGCCTCTGCTCATCCTGGCACAACTTGTCTGGGCTCAAAATAAACAAGATGCAATCACAGAAAAGTTTTAAGGATTCACGAAAACACACATCAAGTATTACAGCTTATCTGTGGTTAGCTGACCAACAATTGTAGTCAATAAAACTGAAGCAGGACTTAAAAAGAAAGTTGAATTTCCTCAAACCACCTCCTCCCTACAGCTGTTGTTCTTTGTTCTGATACAAACAAAAGCAGTAACTCTGTCCCTGTAAGTAAAGTTTTATAACCTCCTGTTCTCATAACACGCTGTTGTTACCCAACCGAAGCCACTGGGCACAGCTTGACAAACTGCCTTTGTTCTGCTTGCCCACCAAGTTACATACCACTAGACCAGCCGCCATGGCACTGTGTATAAGACCGGAGCCCTCGGGGCTGGGATTTAGCTCAGCGGCATAAGTGCCTGCCTTGCAAGTAGGCAGTCGTGAGTTCGGTCCCTGGTACTGATAAAAATGAAAAAGATAAAAAAAACAAGACCGGAGCCCTTCCACTGTTCAGTACTCAGTCATTTTGGACATAAGTCACTGGGGCCAAGTAAGTTCTCCTGAACCTCCTGCTACCTTCCCAGTCTCAAACTCTGCAACAAAACACTTTAAGAATTTAGAGCAGTAGTTCTCAAACTAGAATGATTTTGCTGCCCTCCTGGGGGTGGAGGTGGGGCTTCAGAAGACACATTACCACTGGGGAGAAACAAAGTGAGCTACTTAGACCTAGTAAGTACAGGTCTAAGGGATTCTTAGAGCACACAAGACAAAGAATGATGCAGCCCAAAATGTCACGGGTGCCACTCTGAGATATGTGACTGAGTCAACCCCAAGAGCTAGCAGAACTACAGTACTTCATGAACAACTTACATTTCCTCATCCCAACGCAATCATCTCTTCCCCAGAACACTATTTCTACCCTTATAGACTTTGCAGATACAAACTAAAACTCAGGCTGAAAAGTAAGCAACAGAGAGCATCCACAAGGGACAGAGGAAGGGCAGCAGGGAGCTTTCTTCTAACACTTTGGCTTCAAAGCTATAGTGCTTAATGGCTAGACAAAAGCACAGCAAACTGTTACTGGTTTTGGCATCCAAATTAGACAACCAAAAAACTCAAATATTTCTAAACAAAGACACATAGGTCAGCACCAGCCTCCAGGAGTGTGAGAAAAACAGATATAATACAAAAGAAACAGGTCAACCAGAAGTACTACGTGACATTACAATTTGCATTTTTATTGATGTTGTTTTCAATTAAAACACTCCAATGCTATTTCTTCATGCTTCCACAGTATAATACTATTAGAGACCTTTTGATTCACTTTAGTAACTGGTATATATGATACCTGATTTTCGAATTATTACTTTAATTACTGGTAGGACATTGATCAGAATGAACAGAGTGTTGTGCCTGGCATATAGCAGGCATACAACACATTTTATGAATGGCAGGACATAAGTTAGCTATTCTACTTTCAGAATATGGACTAAAGACCTGAGAAGTTTATAGATCAAAACTAACAAGAAATTTCCAATATATTTAATAATAGTAAGGAATGAAAGAGAGGAATTAGGAAAAGTCTTACTACTTAATCCTTTTTCCTAAAGCAAAACTATTCATCCAGCTCCATCAGTCAAGCTGGAGCTAGGCTCCCCACCATTCACTCCCGCTGCACCCTGATGACGTCTCACTGGTTCATCTATCTCACCACCTTTCTTCTCAACACAATGGAACACAATCATAGACTAGACCACTACTACATTCAAACATTTACAACATACATACCTAAAATAGTATACCTTTTAGATAATACTTGGCCTGGTCAGGCCCAACAGCTCCAACCTCCAATACCATACTTCTCTTCTGAATCCACTAAGAATGAACCTTATTTCAGGGCACTATGCAGGCAAGAAAGAGTATCAGCAGCTGATGTTAGCCCTTGGCCACCCTCTCCTTTAATTCAAAAAGCAGCCCACTGTAGAGCTGGAGAATCAAGAAAATGAGAGCCAAGAGGAGGCCTTGTGGTGCACTCCCACAGCCTCAGTTCTCAGGCAGCAGAGGTGGTCGGTAAGTCCACGAATCTGAGAGTCGCCTGGGCAACAGGAGGAGATCCCATCTCAAAACAAACATGCCTCAGCCTCCCCTCCCCTCCTTTCCTGTCCAGCTCAGCCCAGAGGCCCCAGGGCTGCATCCTTCCTGCCTCTCCACTGCCATCCTCTCTAGATTCACACAACCCACACACTCAAGTTTCCCTCAGAGATCACTGTCACCTCTTCAAAGAGCCCATGCCAGGCACTCTGTGTAAATGAGCTATGTGTGCCCTGTATGGAGAAGAGAATGACAAAAATCAGATTTTTGGATTGGTTATCAAAAAGACTGTTCTAGAAATGATTGACTCTGCAGTGCAGAGGGAAGCAATGTTTTTAGTGAGCTTGACCAGCTGTAAATAACTGAAAGATGTCACTTTCATAACAGACTAAGTTTTAAACATCTAAAGGTCAGCTCTTGAGAGATTCATTGACACAGAATACTCTAAAAAACTACCCATGCTGGGGATTTAGCTTAGCAGCACAAGCGTCTGCCTGCCAAGCGCAAGGTCATGAGTTTGGTCCCTGGCACCCACTCTCCACAAAAAAACCTACCCTATATACTACTACATTCCAGAATATAAAGAGTAACTCACACCAAAATCTTCCGTGGGACAATATCAAAAGGGGATTATCTGGAGTTTGCACTTCTAGGAGCCTAGGACTGGATCCACTTACCAATGACACCATAATGCTGGACAAAACACAACTTCCTAGAGAACACAATGAGGAGAAAGCACTCTGCAGCACTGCAGCCCCAGGGAGTCACTGTCACTGTGACCCTGAGAGCAAGCCAGAGTTAGCATCCCAATCCCAAAAGACAGCTGGGAGGGACTCTCAGACAAACCCACAGCTGTCTGGCCTGAAGACCAAATAGGCAGACACTGCCCACGGAAACAGGAGGAAACTAGGACACAGGACACAGGATAGAGGCAGAGACAGAAGCTCCACACACTGTGTAAGCTGGCAGGTCTGTGGCTCCTCCCACATCATGTATGCCCGGCACATACTGCAGGCTGACCAGCTAAATATAAAAGTAAGCAGCACCAAATTAACCGCCTGCTGAAACACTTTTCAGAATAAAAATCAAAGAAAACCATGCCAAGGTACATCCTAGTCACAGTGCTGAAATCCAAACAAAGAAAAAATGTTAAAAGCAGCCAGAGAAAATCCACTCATTACAAACAGGAAAAGAAAAATCCGAAAAGCCTCTGACCTAACACCAGACACAGTGAAACAGATTTAAGGTGCCGTGAAAGTGGTAGTTCCCAGTCTGGTGGGGAACTGTTCCAAAGACAGGACAGCACAGCCCTTGGCACAGAACTGCTCTCTCCATCTGACTTCCATTAGGCATCTGCAGCTATATGGCTACACTTGAGGCACTAAGGTACCTGACTCAACAGCTGACAGGGTACACAGGGGACAAGGAGAGAGAAGCCAGCCGCTAACATACCTCTCCAGCAGTCCTGCACCATTCAGATAAGAGCCACCCCCCTTCCATCGCTCTGCAGGTCCTGTCTCCATGCCCAGCCACTACTCCATCTGAGCTGAGAATGTCTTTACTTCAAGTATGTGGAACCAGAGTATCCAAGGGTGGTGGCATAAAGATCACACTTGTTCTAAGCCAGGTCTCTGTGTTATGTAAGTAATTATTAGAAAAGAATGAGGACCTTTAATACCTACACCCAATCAGGTACCCCTAAGAAAATTCTTCTCCACTTAAATAGCTAGGGCTCAACAGATTTCACAGCCCACAAACACCTAGCATTTATGACTATTTTACTTAGTCTGGAAACAAAGTATAAAAGAGGCACAAACTGCCAGTGCATTTTCTGAAATAACACAGAGGTCCTCGGGTTGGCTCAATTAACCAATATGCTGACTTCAAATCATTTTCGCTGAAGGACTGGAATCCGCCAGACTGCCTGAGAACCAACTATTGCTAATTTTATAAAGACCTGTCCACATGCAGATGGAAAAGGTACCTTGAGAAGCATCATAATGCTGTCTTCCTAAAGACAAGAGAGCTACCAGTCTCGCTATCCCTGGTAACCAGCTATATCCAAAAGGTCAGCAATTCCAAGTACTGCCCAAAACACCTGCCTCTCTTAAATCAAAAGCACAGTAAAATATTTACAGAATGGAGTGTGATTCTCCAGTTTGAAACTGTTTCCAGGAAAAAAAAGAAAGAAAGAATATATTCCTAATGTGAAACATTTTTAGAATAGCCAGTTCATTTGGAACCTTTCTGGCATTTCCAACTAGGTACTGCACTGTTTCAAGGGTTGTCATGTAATCAAAGAGGACTACTTACCACTGGAGTTCAAGGATGGATTTGTTTTAGCAAGTCCTCTAACGGATTTTAGTCACTGTTCACAAGGTGGCATCAGCTTTTCCATATTCCTACCAATCTCAAAGAAAATACAGGAAAAACACAAACCAAAGGCTGCTCGCTCACGCAGCATCTGCCTGCCATGGACCCTGCACTTTCCTCAGTGGCATTTCCGAAGCTCTAACTGAGAAAGGAAATAAACAAAATTTTGGGGGAAAAGAAATTTGAAGAACTGTATCTACAGAATTTTTAGTAATACAAAAAATAAACTCAAATCAAAAGTTTTTATAATAGTCTTTGAACTGCCTCAGATTATTAATTCAACTAAATAATTAAAAAGGTTGACAGTAGTTAAAAAAAAAAGTTTGGAAAAGACTGCTAGGTACTCTGGGCAAGAGGAAATAAGTAGTTATACGTATGGAGCAAAGGGAAATTATGTAGAGGATTAGTGAGTCAGTTAAAGTTACCTATAACATAGCGGGATGTACACCAGCTTTCCATCTTCTTTGATTTTAAGGGGTAGGTAGGAAACAAATAATCACTGATTAACCTGTTAGTAGTTTTTTGTACTACATAGATTTCTCTTTAGCCCTGAGCTCAGAGAAGCCAATCAACTTATTAAAGCTCTCAAAATGATTATTCATCCCCAGGTCTGCATCACCTTGGAACTCAGACTTTGTCCATTACTACATGCTATTATACAAAAAGTATTTCACATGAATCAGTTCTCCAATGAAGTATTAAAAAAAAAAAAAAAAACTCGACCAGTTCAAACATCCTTTTCAGACTGTCCCTAAAAAATACTAATCTTCTTAAAATTCTAGTAACATATAGCCCATCAGATCTGCCGTTCTTTACTACCTTTTCCTGGAAAGTATCTTTCAGAGTAAGTAGGTAACAGTCTGCTTAAGATCAACTCTAAGGCCTGTAAGAAAAAGTTGGGCTGTACTTCTAGATTGCCAAGTTTAACTTACAGCCCTCAGAAAGAGTGCTCTATCCTGTATTCTTAGCTGTTGTTTTTCCTATAAACTACATCATCTAATCCTAAGAGATGGAGAAAGAAATCAGAAAGAACCTTCAGGACACTGTAAAAAAGAAGGTCCAGGATCTTCAATTTCAAGCATCAAACTCCAGATTTCCAGCAGACTTCCACAGGACCCTGGAAAGCAACAGGGTCTCCTGGTTAAAACTGCAATTTCTGGAATTAGACGCAATAAAATAAATAAGTGCTCAGAGTTCATGAGCACTTCCTCCCTCTTGTAAGCCAGCATCATCACCATGAAATGCTCTCTGGGCACGTTGCCTCCAAGCACTGCCTGAAACTCCTTGCCACTCCTCCGTGACTCATGATGGCCTTGAGGAAATTAATTAACCTCTCTAAGCCTCAGTTCCCACAGATATAAAATGAAGACATGGTGATAACGACACACATCACAATTACTAATTATTATGCCCAGGTCTTACACTCTTCCTAAATGTGAGTTTCCCCATCACTGTTAAACTCATCAGTTTGAAAGAAGTCTATGGGACAACTGGCAGGGTTTATAAACCTTCCTGGGGCCAGCACCAATTTCTGCTGTCAAGGCCTTGGATGTGGGAAGTGAGAAGCAGCAATGGATATGGCAAGCAGAAACTTCACAGGGAAAGAAATGCACACCAGTTTAAAAACAAAGGTGTATGCATATCCTTCTCTACTAAAATGAGAACACGTCAAGTAAAGAGAGCTGGAAAAGGCATCAGAAGTGAAATACCATTTCACGCAGTAAAACAAACTGCCCATTCTTCCATTACCATGATGGGAACTCCAATGTCGGGCCACAGAAGGTCCTCGGAGGGTAGCTTGGGGGAATTCCATACCACCACCACCTTGTTCAGGTAGGGGAGACCATTCAGTCTCTCCAGAGAGTTCATGAGCACTTCCTCCCTCTCATAAGTCAACATCACCACTGTGAACTGCTCTCTGGGAACGTTGCCTCCAAGTGCTGCCTGAAACTCCTTGCCAGACCCCCCAGCTCCGCCACCAATAGGCCGAAATCCAGTTCCTGAGCCCAAGAACTTGGCCTCTGAGGGCAACACAGGGTCAAACGGTGTGTGGGGGAAAAGATGGAAAGGCCCTGGCGCTGAGTTCCAGCTGCGGTAGAAGTCGGTGACGGTGAGAGTGAAGTTGCGGAGGTATTTGGGGGAGGCGTAGGGTGGCTCGGTCTCTACTGGGCCCAGGTCCAGGTCCCCATTGTCTGCCATGTTGGGGTCCGTTCCAGCAGCCTTGCCTGAACGATGAGGGATCTCAGCTGCTACCTCTTCCCGTATGGGAGCAGCTGGGATCTGTATGCGAGTCCTAATCATAGCCAGCACAGTATTAAAAATACTGTCAGTGGTAGAAAAGTACGTCTCCCAGAGAAAGCGGCCTTGGCGCCTCATGGCCAGGAGATCACTGTCAGAGAGACTTCGTAACAAGAAGTGAACCTCCGTAACACGTGGCTTGGGCACCACCAGGGCCGCCTCGTTCCACTGCAGCATGTCTTGGTACGGAAGTTGCACTTGCTCCCCCAGCACGACCGGGACAGCACCAACCTCCAGGGCTTCAAAGAGCCGTGTGGCACACCCAGAGGAAATCACCAGGCGAGGGTCCCCAGGAGTGATGATGAGGGCGAAGGTGGAGAGCTTCAGCAGCTCTAGGCGGTCCTCCCGTTCCCCGCACAGTGCCCACTCAGTAGGCAGACTTGGCTTTGGCTGGTTTTTGCAGGTAAATTCTACCAGGACCTGATCCAGCTTGCTGTCCTGAACTGCCTTAAGGGTGGCAATGATCCGATCGTCATAGTCCGCAGGGGGGTCCCCCTCCATTTCTTCTTCAAAGGAGCGGGCCTCCTGAAGGCTGGACCGCAGGGATTCAATCTTCTCACCCTGGAAGGTAAAGAGATACTTCCGCTTCACTGGCACCTGTGGCGGGATTTCCATGAAGTTAGGTTCTGACATGGCATGAACTAGAGGAGAGACTACCAAGTCAAAGCCAGCCCTGTACTGGGCAGCATAGAAAGTGGACTGGGCCACCATGGCACGGCCTGTACTCACGTTGTACAGTAAATTCTGGGTGTCTGACTTTCGGGATAGATTGATGATGACATGGTTGTGTCCATCTGTCCGCCAATGTGGAAGAGAATGCAACTGCTTCTCAAGGTCAGCAGGCCGCAGCACTACTGGCTCCTGCATCTCTCCCACTAAAATCACATAAAGACAGGCAACATCTGCATTCTCTGTAACATAGATGTTAGTGCGTGTGGTTGCCTGAAAAGCCTGCTTAACCAAAGGGTCTAAGTAGTTGCCAAAAGCAAACTGGTCACTATCATAAACATACACTGGAAAACCAGAAGTAAGAGGACAGCGAGAATAATCAAAACAGTTATGCAGCCGGCAACCCGACATGGCCTTTGGAGGAGGAAGACCAGCATCGTCCTTTTCGGGGAGCAATCGGATGGGCAGAGAGAGTTTGGGCTGATTCTGGGCCATCAGCTCTTTGTAAGAATGCTCCGTCTGGCTGATGACATTCTTGAGCTGCAGCAAGTCCTGCTTGGCATTCTCAATGCTTTTCTTACAGGCTTCGATCTTCAGGTTCAGCCTGGCGATCTCACTGTTCAGCTCCTGCCTCTTGGCTTCCAGCTGCAAGAGCTCCTCGCTCACAGACTCACGGATGCGGCAGAGATCCAGCACGTGCTTCACCTCACAGAGCTCACTGCCGGCCCGGGGGCCAAAAATCCGCTTGCCTGCCTCGTCTGCCTCATCCAGAGTGGTAAGATAATAGTGAGCAATGAGGGGGAAGAAAACCAGGATGATGAAGAGCGTGAAACTGAGCCACGTGAGCCGGATGCGGTTGGACCAGCGTAACATACAGGTCTGACCTCCATTCCCCGCACCCCCACTCCGCAACATGGCATAACCCGTCATGAGTTCTTTGAGGCACTTGCCCTCTCCAATCACGGTGGGTCACTCGCCATCACCATGAGTTTTGATTCGGCAAAATTCAACCTCTTCTCACTCAGATGTTTCCAGAAGAGTTAGTGCACTCCCCGTACAAGGCACCAAGTAAAACTGAAATTCCATTTTCCTCAGCTGTGACTGAAACAGTCTCTGACCCTGTTCTGGTTGCTTTTAAATTCCACTTGTTGACTAAAGAGCATGCTTTTAATCTTCCTCAAATGAAAAGTGCCGCAATGTTGCCAAGGTGAAAGGGAGGAGGTTCCTGATGATGAAACCCAGGAAAAATACCTTGGAATCAGACAGATCTTTTCAACTGCCATAGCTCTTATTCTTTGGTTTTGCTGACCCACACAAACGCATAGTTTCTCTTCACAGTACAGTAAATTCTGAGTGTCCAACTTCCAGGACAGATTATACAGTAGCTGGTTAGAACAGCTGCGGTTAAACACGTCAGCCTCTTATCAATGTCACTGCCAACAATCAGGCCTGCAAAAGAAAGAAAAGCATGTCAGTTTTGAAGAGATTATGTTCAATAACAACTACCCCAGTACATTTAGAGAAAATGCTTAAATCTGCTATGGTGAAAGTGACTGGAACTGGTGTGTCTCGAAGAACCCTCTTAAATCCAAAGCAGAGCTTCTCTCTGGTGTGGGCATATTACTTGTGGTTGGCAAGAAAGGGACACAAGCCCCTAAAGAGCTGCAGGCTGTATGCCTCTACCCAGCCTCTTCTTGTATCATTCAATCAAGAATGGTATGAGAACTCTGCACAATGATGATGTCTACTAAAATCAACAGTGGATGAAGATGTCTACAAGACCAATTTGTTATCTGAGGCCTGGGCATCATCCTCAGATGGAGAGAAACACTCTCCTATCCAACCCTGGTGCTACATTCACTCTGAATATGAAAGTTTCCTTTTCATCTACTTAGCAAAAGAAAAAGACTTTGAGAAGCTCACTTTAGACTGGAAAAGAGTTAAACAGAATGCTTTTGTTCTTCATCCAGTAGCAGGGACAGGAATCCAGAGTGAAAGGTATTTCCCAGTTTGCTTCTATTTATCTTTCATTAGCAGACATCAAGTCCTCCTCCTTAAAACAGAAATAGTAACGTAGTCTTTCAGAAGAGCACTATATTTAGGAATGAGAGGCATGACTTCATACCCTTGAGGGTCAGATTGTCATCAGCCCTCATTCCCTAGTGTCCCAAGCCTCCGAAATGGAGACAAGTGCATGGGGATAAGACAGTGCGCTGCAATGAAAATGGACTGAGAAGATGGGCAAGCACTTTAGGCCAGTTGATCATGAAACAACACTGCCAGCCTTGTGCTCTCACCAAGCATTGTGATCACAGCTTTAAAAAGGTTTTTATCTGCTTTCCTCTGGAACCTAATATATACAGAAATCAATCACAATATGCCATGCAAAGAATATTCTCTATGTTCATTTCTTACACACACACAAAAAAAATTCACCACACCCTTAACATATCTGAGACAGCTCTTCGTCTCGGCCACCGACATGTGATCCAGACTAAGAAAGACCTAGAAGCTTCACGGCCATGTAAGCCAAGGCCCTGGCCATATGGGCAAGCACCAGAAGTGCTCGGAGGCCAGTGTAATGCTATAGGCTGACAACACCACAGGATCAACTTCAACAAATACCACCCGCTTACTCTCAGAAGGCTGGTATGAGGCATTACCACTTAGAGAGAAACCAGCTTCTGCCCAGCTGTCAGCCTTGATAAACTGTGGATGTTGGTCGGTGAGCAAACACAAGTAAATGCTGCCAAAAATAAGACTGGAGTAGCTCCCATCACTGATGTTGTACGACTGGCCTACTACAGAGTTCTTGAGAAGGGAAAGCTCCCAAAGCAGCCTCTAGCTATGAAGGTCAAATTCTTCAGCAGAAGAGCTAAAGAGAAGATTCAGGGTGCTGGGGGCAGGAGAGGGGCTGCTGTGTCCTGGTGACTTTAAGTCACAGGATGGGGGACTCACTGAAATGCTAACAGATAGCTTTAAAAAAAAAAAAATCCCACTATCCTTTTGATTCAAGAAATCTCTCTTTTAAGGAAGGGAAAGTTTTTTAAAGAAGAGAGAAAGGAAAACACAGAAACAAAGCTTTGTAAATGGAGAGAGGAAGAAGGGATTGCAAGAAGAGCTGGGGAGGGGCTGGAGGTTTAGCTCAGCGGCATAAGCACCTGCCTTGCAAGCAGGCAGTTGTGAGTTCGATCCCCGGTACCGATAAAAAGGAAAAAGACAAAAAAAAAAAAAAAAGAAGAAGAAGAGCTGGGGAATAGGGAGAAACATTATATCAAGTACAGATACAAATACAAGGAATGTGATCGCTATGTATATCGAAAACATACCAATAAAAAATCTAATTTAAATAATAATCTCTCACAGCTGCATTGATGGTCAAATCATAACAAGTAAGACTGGAAAGGAAAAAAACAAGGAAGATAAAAATCAAGACAGTACAGAGAGCCCTCCCTTTCTTACCCTATGTGCCAGGATCCTTCCTTCCTCTGGCTTATGCAGCATACTTCCATGTAAGACTTCCTGAAAGAGTGAACACCAGGACCTGCTCTCCTGATTTAAAAAGAAAACAGAAAAGTGTCATACCATTAGAAAAATAATACTAAAGATACTGTCACAGAATTCCCTTACTATCCTTCTGAAAAGGCTTTCCTTACGTATACATATGGCAACGTTCCAGTTTACTCCAGAGATGCCAATAAAACACAGCAGCACAGCAGGTGGAAAGTGGGACCTTCACAGGCAAACTAAGCATACAACACCTACCATGTGCTCAAGAAGGGAACGAGGCAAAATACTAAAATGCCTTGGGGCTCTGAGGAGTGAGACTAGAACCTAGATGGAGGTGGTGAGGAGTACCTAGAGTAACAGATGGCCCAACTCCAGCCACGAACTGACTGCCATTCATGTAAAATGACAGGTAAACGTGGAGGTTTACAACAGTATGTGCTCTGCTTCTGGTTGTTTGAAATTTTTCAAAAATTACAGAATCTAAACAAATATTTTTCAAAAGTCATTTGGAGACTATTCAGTCTAAAATTTCTGGTGCAACCAATTTATATGCAGAGCAGAGTGTGAACAAATGCTCTAATGGAAACCAATAATTCAACAATGACTCAAAAGAAATGTATCCCTATTAAGTTTTATCTTTTACTGGAATAAGGCAAAAGTGTCATCAGTGTCCAATGGCATTAACTTACCATCCTATACAGCTAATTAAATTATTTCAAGTACAAAAGAAAAACAGCCCGGAGAGTCTCCCCTGTCATTCTTCGGGAACTTACAATGAGCTACTAGGATGGAGGAATACATGCAGCACTGCAGCACTGATAAAGAGCACTCTCTGGAGATGCTTGTCTTTTAGAGACAGGATCTCACTATGTAGCCCAGGCTGGCCTTGACCTCACAGCACTCCTCCTGCCTCAGCCTCCTGAGTGCTGGGATTACACCAGGCCCAGCTTCTAGAGACATCTGATCCAACACAGTATACGTCTTTCTAATTCTCAGGCACCACGGCACCTTAGCAGCTGACCTCCATCCTTGTTCCTGCAACGCATCCCACACACAGCAACTCGAACCCTCTCCAAACACAACTAGACTGCCTCACCCTTCCCCACACATCTTCAGCGGCTTCCTGCTGCACCGCCAGGCCCTTCCTGAGCATCCTCCGATGTCCAGTCTCACCCACATCATGGCCTGCCTCGCTCACTCAGCTGCAGCTACACTGGCCACCAACTAACTTCTCAGCAGCACCAGAGTTCTGAACCGCCCCAGAATCTTTGCCCTTGCTGTTCTTCTTTGTGCATAATACCCACTCACTCCCAGTCCTGCTTTGTCCTGGTGACTCCTACCTTTCAGGTCAGTTTTCTTGATGTTTTCATGTCTGATGCTTTCTGGCACTAGCTTACTGATTTGATGCTTTCTGGCACTAGCTTACTGATTTCCTTCATAGTTTCTTTCCTTGCACTCATCCATTATCACCTTCCTCACCAAACCTACTTCTTGAGGGCAGCAACTCTGTAGTTCCAACCCTGCTGCATCACCAGCACCCAGCATTGAGTCAGGCCGTTCTAAGCAGCGAAGTGAATGATCACTTCCGCATTCGTGTTTTGGTGTTCCAGCCACACTCTCTAACTCGTGTTCCCTATCTGCTGGGGTCACTTCCTTCCTGAAGGATCTCACACCATCTGTTTCCCAGTGCATCTGCTTTAGAGGCTTCCCCCATCACCATCATCCCCTCCCCAACTCCAAGCCTCGCCTGTCCACCGTCTGTCGGCTGTCTAGCGCCTGTCAGCCACCTGCCCCCTTTGACCCTTTTTATTTGACAGTGGTGCTGGAGACTGCGCGGCAGGGAAGCGCTCTACCCAGCTATTCCCCCAGCACATTTGTTTGTTTGTTACATCAGTAGAAAGGTAACACCTATGTTCAGGACTGCTATAAAAATCAGAGATAGTAACACTGCACAGTATCCAGCACAAAGGAGGTTACCCACGGGCAACAAGCCTCGGAGTTATTTTTAATTCCTTCAATTCCTTGCATTCACATCTAATCTCCTGCTAAATCCTGCCAATTCATGCTTGAAACAACTATGTTTGTAATAATAATTATGATTTATTATTTATGCCTTTCTTTTGACTACCTTCACCATAAGTCCTGACCCCCAAGTCACAATGCCAAATCTTATACTCCCCATTAATTTGTCCTTTGTATTATTACTCTAAATCAGTTATTTTATATCACCTAATAGTGCTTCAGAATGAATAATTTTAGTTCATCTATCTTCCAGCTCTCTAATCTACTCTTCAGTCTATTAATTCCACCAAATAAATCCTCAATTCCGGGCATGATTTTTTTTTTTAGGTTTACAATGTACATTGGACTCTTTTTGAGACACTCCGTTTTACACCAGAAATTCTCATCTATTTTTTCTCCTATCTTTCCTTTATATATATATATATTGGGGGCGGGGGAGATACAAGGTCTCACCATGTCACTAAAAGCTGCCCAAGTTGGGCTCTAACTTGATAGACTCCTGCATCAGTTTCTCAGAATACTGGCTAACAAGCCTATGCCACCATGGCCCAGCTTTCTTCTATTTTCTTTTGCATATTTATATGAATTAAATTTTTTATCTAATTTCAATAACTGGGCCACCTGTGACACAGTGAAAGGAACCTTAGCCAGAGCCAGCACTATAGTGTTTGGACTTTCAAACTCCAAAAATATGAGCTAAATTGTTGGGGTTCTACAAGCAAAGGAAAAATAAAGGGTCACACACACTAAGGGTCAGCAAAATGGCTTCCACCCGGCCAGCCTAAGCAAGTAGCTTTTATTGAGATAAAGAACAGAGAATCTCAAATTGTGCATGCTTAGGTTACATAACTTGTTTGCTTCTTGCCACTCCAGGACCTCATGTTTTTACCTTGGGGTGGGGGCAATGTTTCAAGGCCTGCACTTTTTCCCATGACACTGTCGACCAGATGTGTCCAAGGCAAAATGGAGTCAGTATGTCTCTACACTAAATAAATTCCTTCAAACATTTCTCAGCTGCAAGTATTTCATTACAGTAAACAAGCAGACTAATACAGTGGTGTAGGTAATCTACAGAAGGCTGAATGTACACAGGAGGATGTGTGTAAACAAATGCAAACACTGTGCCATTTTAACACAAACAATCTACATTGCTGCACATGTTGATATCCACAGGAGATCCTGGAACCAATTCCTTCCCAGGGACTGTATTCAATTTCTTTTAGTGCTTAACCTTAAAGTGTATCATGTATTCATCCATCATTAACCAGGTAGAAAGCTTAATAATATTTCTAGTATTTTCTCTCTCTGCTCAATTAATAAAAGACTCTTAGAACACTACCTACAATCACCTGGACCATGTTATATGGCATTATTAACTAACACCGTAGCCCTACTTCATTTCTGTCACTCTATGTTTCAGCAGCACAGTCCACGTCTGCTTAGATTTTACCCACACACTGACCAACTTCCTTGCTTGCTAGTAGAGACCTTTTTGTATTTCATGCCTTCCTTCTGGTTGTTTCCTTTTCCCAGCAGTAGTTCTTCAGTGAGGAATGGTTTCACCCTAAATCTCGAATGAAGTCTTAGCTAAATATATAAGGCTAGCTTTTACTTCTCCACTGACACTTTGGAAATCCTCTGGATTTCTTTACTGCCATGGAAAAGTGAGACAGCAGTCCAACTGTATCTTGGGGGCAATCTGACTTCTCATTCTTTTAAGCATCTTTTTGTCTTGGGGGGTCTTGCAAAGCATTAACTTACAAAATTTTGTGGGTTTTTTCATTTTGGCTTTGGCTCCAGATTCTTTAACTTTTTCAGTCTTAGTATAATTCCAGCACTCTGAAAGGCTGAAGTAAGTTAGATCATAAGTTTGCACCCAGCCTGCATAACTGAGTGAGACTTTGTCTGAAAATTTCAAAATGGGTTGGGGTGGTAGCTCAGTGCAAAAGCCCTGGGTTCGGTGTGCAGTAAAACAAAATTTCCATGCCCTTTGCACTATCTTCCAGAAATTTTCTCACATCTAATTTAGGGTTGGGATGCCTTTTCGTTAAAGAGATACACAGTTAATATTTTAGGCTTTTCAGGCTACACACAATTTCTATAGCATATTTTGTCTTTTCTTTCAAAACAACCCTTTAAAATGTAAATGTAAAGAACATTCTTACCTTGTAAGCTACTAAAAAAACATGCCACTACCCAGATTAGGCCCACTGGCCAAACTTCTCATCTAGTTCATTAATTCTTCTATGTGGAAACTATTTATCCTACCTGCTGGGTTTTAATTTTAGTAACTATTTTACACTTCCAGAAGTTCTGCTGACTTTTAAAAACACGACCTTTTTTTTTTTTTTCATAACAACGCCTTGTTCTTTCTCATGTTTTCCATTCCTTCTCTTTATGGATTTACTTTGCTCTGTCTGCTGATGCCTGATTACAGTCAGAAGGTAGACTGTTTTCTCTCAACTTTGTAATTTTTTTACAGAGTTCCTCTTTGGGTGATTTCTGAAAAATACTTTTGCCCTAGATTCAGAATGTATCACTGTGGCAGAGTTTTTGTTTGACAGATACTTCTATCATAGCATCAGCTATAGACTACTTTTATGTCTATTTCTCCATGTGGAGGCTCCCTGCATAAGTGTAACTGTGAATCCATGGCAGAAACCCGTGGTCCTGAGTTCTCCATGGGTATCTCCTTCCCACCAATCCAGGGTCCAGAATAAGACAGCCTTCTTTATAGGTGAGCATAGTGTTTTACAGTCCATCTGTGTGCTAAACATTCAGCCTTTTAAAGATCCAAATCTTGCCTAGGATCTCAATTCTGATGCTCACAGAACCCAAGTCTTTACCACTTGGTTCTGAAAAAATTAAAGCACAAGTTACTAAAATTAAAGAAAAGCATAATTTACCAAAGCATGCAGCATCAAACTGCTCACCAGATACTTTGCTTTTCAACCCCAACTTTCCCCTACTCTCTGCTTCTTTACTTTAATGAGGATTTACCTTTCTTTCAGGAAAGCACA